AAACGTATGATGGTTATATAGAAAATAATCTTTATTAATTGTTAATATTATTGTTAATTTTTTAAATAAATTTTATCAATAACATATACTCCTTTTTTAACGGATTACGAGGTATCACAAATATTGACCGCACCACATTTCGGGTGACTAATTGGCCACGAAAGTGGGAAAAACCGGCACATGAAATTTATACAATTTTATGGCCAATTAGTGGTATCTCATAAACTGTTTCTTTTGGCTCCCAAAATACGTCTAAAATGTGGCCTAGAAGCGCAGTTTTCTATCTCTATCCGACCAGCTATATAAATTCGCAAGAGAGAAGGAAAATGGATTTCAAAGAACATGGCAAGGAAATTTCTTTGAAATGCGTTTCGATTTCAAATTGAAACCAATTACGGCTAGAAAAAGTTGAAAAATAAGAAAATAATTCTCAAAGCAAGTTGAGTTGAGCGAAATTGCTTTTTGTTAAATGACCAACAATTTTTTACCCAGCTTGGCAAAGAATTCTCTTTGAATTTCCTTTGGAGCCGAGATTTCTCGCTCTCTCTCTCTCTCGCTCTGTCGTTTAATGCCATTAACAGCTTGTCAAAGCCATGGCCAAAGTCGTGAGTTATTAAAAAAAATCAGTGAATGGTCTTAAGCACCTGGTCGAGTAGCCAGGTAGACGGTGGCAGGGGATAAGGATGGAAAAAACTTTTGCCACGGTTATTATGAAAAAAACTGAATGAGTTCCTCTCTTATTTATACAGGAAAAAAACTTGTTCGATTATATTATAAATAAATTTTACATTTTAAACTATTAAATGGGAATTTTCTGAAATATATATAAAAAATGATTTTATCATTCTCAGAAACTTAAATTAAATCAAATAAAACTCAATTCTCAAAAAGGTTAAGATGGGATAAACACATTTTCTCTAAATTCTATAAACCACATTTTCAGTGTTGGCCGAAAAAGTTTCAATGCCCTCCAGCCCCATCCTGACTCAATCTTTCTCTTCCTTTCAAGCTCTCTTCTTTTATGGCTTTCAGCGCGGTACTTCTTCTTGACATTTTTAACTAGCCCACTTTTGCAGTCTCGCCGTGAAATGTGATTGCAACTCGAGTGCTTAACGTCACCCACACACCAACTGCACTACAAATATATTCAGTCACATATCTGTATCTGTATCTGTATCTTTACAGTGCGTTGCAAAAGCACCCTTGTTAATATAAGCCCCTTTAATATATATTTCTAGTCTAATTATTTACTAAAGATTATTTTCTATAAAAATTGTAATTTATTTTTAATAGAATAATATTTATGCCCATAAAGTATTTAAATCTGCAATAATCAGTTTAAGAAGTTTAAAAATATTTTAATCAAACAAATCGTGATAGCTTGTATAAGCAAATCTCATTACCTTTCAAACCTTTAGCGGAAATAAAGCCATAACTTAAACTGCAAATTATCACCTCTTATCGGTTTGAAAACCCACTGTTCGCACATATATAGTATAGATTTATGTATATCTATGTAGAATGTCTTGTGGCTGCCTGGCTGACTGACAGTCACGGGTTTATTTCAGTTAATTATCGCACGCCAGCAGCAGGTTAAACCGTTGAGGTGGGGGAGGAAGCGAAAAGGGGAGAGGTCCAAGTATGGCCACGCCGCACTTTTCCCCTTCAGGCCACCTAACCTAACCTTTATTGACTGACATTTCGCCTCGAATGATCTAATCAAAAACAAGTTGAATTTGAATTGTTGTTGCTGCTACGGCGCTGTTATTGTTTTTGTTGGCTTGTCACTGGAACAGAACCGCTTTATAAGGTGGAACTGTTTTGGGGGTGGTGGGGCTGGAGGGACTTTCGGGGGGGTACTGTTATGACAGGCTCCTATATTTAGACTAATGTACGCCCAAATCGGATCGTTTGCGCTTCTAGATATTGCATTTTCAGTCTATTTGTCTGTCGCCCATGGATAATAAATTTTTTATAATATTTTATTTTCGTGTGACATCGAATTGCTTGGCTATATTTAGGTGGATGTAATCGTGGGGTGTTGGGTGTTGAATTAGTAAAATATAGAAAATAAGTGAACTATAAATACATGCTAGACGTAAAAGTGTACTATTTTATAAGAAAACTTGATGTTTACTTTGGTGTAAATCAGACTTGTTTAATTCTTTACTTTATTTTGAAGTTCTTTAAAATTATTGTAAAATTCTAGCAATGACTTGACTTTGCCTGAGTAAGAACTTAATAAAATGTTGAAGAAACTAATATATTTCCTCTTATTATAAGTTTCTTATTAAAGTTCTTTAAATTTAAACTATTACTCACCCTTTCTACCCCTATGTTTAGTTTTTCCTGAATCTTTAAATTATCTACCTTGATAATAACACAATCGCATTCCCACTTCCTTATAAGGAATGCGAATTTATTAATTGACCAATAAAAAAATGTATTGATAGCTTGACATTCCGTTATCAATATCAGTTAACTAAAAGCGACAAGAGAAGCCCCATGACCACATATCAAAATATATGAATGTGTGTGTGTGTATGAATTCCCACTAAAAGAATTTTCATTTTCGTTTTGGTCTTTTTTTCTAGATGGCTCTAATCATATCTGGAACATATGACCAAAGTTGAATGACAAGCCTTTGTTTTAGCATTCCGCAACAGCAATGAAAAACAGTTAAATAATCACAACAACAAAGCCAAAGAATTCTATTCAATTTTTCCGTTTTTGTTTTTTATCTTTCGACTGCGTTGACAGTTTTTGTTTTCCTATCGCAAATCAGCAGAAATAATAAAAAAAAAAAGAAGAAACAGAATCTGAAAAAATATAACAAAGTCGGTTGGCAATTAGAAAAAGCGTGAAATATTCACGAGACAGAAAACGAATTGCGGTTAGCGATAGAGAGGTAAAATCGCGTGCGGGGTCATCAACTGGCTGAGAGCCCAAGGGCAAAATTCCCCTTTTGGAATAAAAAACTTTTTGCCCGCAACAATAAATAATAAAAAACAAAACAAAAATAAGCCCCCAGGAAAAGGCCAGTAAAAGAAGCAACAAAAATAAAAGAGAAACATAGAAAATAGAAGAGATTGAACAAAGACCAGAAGTTTGATTAATGGATATTACGTTGGTAAAGAGGAGGCAATTTAGAGTCGGCGAAACTTGGTCAGAAGAAAAATTATGAAAAGAAATGGAAAAGTTTCTTAACAACAAGGAAATTGCTCTGAAGTACTAAGAGGCCAACTGCCAACAGGCTAATTGCCGGACTTGGCTGATAAAATGGCCAACGAGGAGAGAGCTCAGGCGGATAAAAGGTGGAATTAAATCTACGGGGGTCCAAAAGCAACAGGTAAAGGTCAAAGATTGGATTCCAAAGAGTCAAATGGAAATGTACTTTTTTGCATGAGGTGAAAGCATTGCATTGTTTTTGTTGATTGGAAAATTGTTTAAAAATCATATCAAGAGGCTGATAATAGGCCAGACATATTTAAACAAATAACTTACTTATTAGCTTAATCTACTCAAGTTTAGAATTTCCTACCCCAAATTATCTCTGATTTTATGATAAGACTTTGCTCATAAAAAATCACAAAAACTGCCAGAGAAACTATTAAATGTCAAAATAAGCTAAATTTCGCTAACCCCAAAAGTCAAAAACTTCACTTTGATCACACTCTCTCTTTCCGTACATTTATCTCCTCCTTTTGGCCCGCATAACTTTTGGCATTCACCCACAGAAATGAAATAAAAACCGAAATAGAAGGCGAATAGCCCTGAACAAAACAAAAAGGGTAATAAAACAAAAATACGAGTAACTTTCGAGCTATTAGCTGGCAATTAAAACGGCAAATGAACTTTCAACTCGGCAGACAGGCAAACAGGCGGAGAGGCAGCCAAAATAGCCAAAAACTAAACCAAGCCGAAGAAAGTAAACAAAGCCGGCGATAAAGTCAAAGCCAAAAACTTCTGGTAGTCGCAATAGACAACAACGAAATAAACTGAGACAGCCGCAAATTAGTAAACAAAAGCACAATTGTTTGCTATGTTTAAGGGCGGAGGGTGCGGCGAGGGGGCGTGGCCGTGGGCGTGGGACTTTTGCATTAACAAAACAAAAACACAACATTGACACACCCACTGGAAAAGTTGTGTCAATGTGGTTCTTGTTGTTTGTTGTCGTCCAATTTTGGGGCGTCCAAAAACTCTGGGATAATAAAAGAACTCTGAAGAGGCAACCAAACAATGGCAAACGAAACTGGAACAAAAGTTCCGTCTCTCGTGCGATGATAATAAGCCGGACCAGGCGGAAAAACCAGGCCAAAACAAGTCTATTTGGGGCTGCCGGGCTAACTGATTCTGATCGAAATTCTAGCTGATTAAATTAAAGGCCACAGATGGGTCAGCAAGTGGAAACAAGGTCAGCGCAGATTGCCGATTCCGATAACAATAATTTAAGGGCCCAGATAGTCTCCAACTTAGACTTAAGTAAAGTTAAACAAGACAAACTTTAACTTTCCTTGGAACTGTATGAACTTGAGTCATTTCTGTTTACTTTGCGAACGAAATTTAGTTCAACTAAGCTAATGTTTTCGTTTCTCATATCCAAAGATTATTTTTGTAAAGTAGAATAAATTAAATTCTCAACAAGAGGAATTTTGTTTTCAAAATGTTAGCCCAAACTTAAACAGAATTTTAGAAGTTACATTGTTGTTCGAAATTCCTTTACACTTTGTAAATTTAAATTGAGAAATTTTACTACTTTTATGATCAAATATTTTTCAATTTTTTCGAATTTTACTTAAGCAAAGTTACAAAGTTTCTTTACAGTAAGAACACATTAATTGAGTTATTTTTTAAGAATTTATCTTCTTATATTATCTTAAGCAAATGCTTTATTGTATTTAATGATGTATGTGAAAGCAAATATTTTTAAAGTCACATAAACTACTTTATTTGTTTAGTTACGATTGCGGGAATGTAATTTAAATTGTAGAATATTTTAAATGTATTTTTTTTTTAATATTTTAAGTAAATATACAGCATCTTGAAGTAGGATAAAAACCCGTAGATAAGTTTTTAATTTAATTATCATTCTAGTTTTAATACTCATCTAAAAAATTACTTATTCTTTAGCCACGTTTTTCTTGGCATTATGAAATGTAGAAACTCATGTTGAACTCAACAAAAGGCTACATTCAGAACCTTATCTAATCGTATTGTTCGGTTGAGGGTTCTGAGAATTGTCCTCCTCCGAGTTACCTTTTCTCCTATTCTCATTTTCTCGCCGGGTTCATTCCAGTTTTCTCTGTCTCCCCCAAGTAATCATCTCGACAGCAGACACAATGGGATAACAAAAGTTGGGTCTCGTCTCTGTCCAGTTTGTTCCCTTCCAAGTTCCTCCTCCGTCGCGTTCACTTGGTTATTTGCCTGAGTTTTCGGACGGGTAATTCACGTGGCACTAATTGAATTAGTTAACTGACTTTTGAGTCTTATTCCTGGACTTGGAAACGATACCGTTAAGCATGATGAACTTGCAATAGAATGCAAAGTGCGCAATTAACAAGTGGCTGAAGGAAAAACCAAAAAAATCTGCTTTTATAAGTAAACGTAGACGAACTCAAGGGCCTGTTGAAAGGTCTGTTGTGTTTTTGGTTTCGGAATCTTGGATGTCTGGCCCAGTTCAACAGCAGCTGTTGCTGCCTTGCACCCTAATTAAACAGATGTGGGCAAACAAAAAGGAAGAACAACTTCCTCAATGTCAAATTTCAGTTCAAGGCATCAAATTTCAAACAATTTTGGGAGAATCCACAGTAATTGAGGAGCGAGAGATTCGAATAAAAAGTCATCAGTATTCTTTGCATTAATTTCCATTATCGGTTTTTTAAGTACCAACAATTTTGAAATTCCACCAATCTAATTGAGAAATAATTACATATTTATGAGTACAGCAAAATGGCTTAGAATATTAGTGATTCTTTCATCCGGAAAACTATCCGGAAAACTATCTACCTAAGCCAGTGCACATCATTTTTTACTAGTTTGGTAGTAGAACAATGAGGAATAACTTAATACCTCTCTTTGGAGCAGTTTTTGCTGTCAATTTTATGTTTAATGTGAGTGGAAAAATAGGTACTGCGACTAAGAACTTAACCATTTTGTAACCTTTCAGGATGCCGTTGTCTTTAGGTTCACAAATTTCGAGTGCAAAAGTTACAACGAGTCGTGGTTCGTTTTTCACTACTATCGACTTAAGGCCGTCAGTCGGGATAGAGTTCTGCTCAATGTGAATGGAACAATTCTTCATCCGGCCAATGATATTCAACTGAGGGGCAAAATGTTTAAAAAAGCCAGTGGTTTCAAACCATGGGTACTGGACTCTACTGTGGATGGCTGCAGATATATGCGAAAGCGTTATGATCCTTTCTTAAATATCGTGTTCAATATTTTTAAAGACTTCTCAAACATAAACCACACGTGTCCGTTTTTTGTAAGTTAGTTGATCTGCAAATCTATAAGTTATCACTTTAATATTTCTTTCATAGGGCCCTCAAGTTGTCAAGGATTTCTACCTTAGATCGGAACGCTTAGCTCTGCCCTTTCCATCGGGAGAGTATATGTTGGCATTGCTGTGGTACTTCGATAAGAAACGCATATTCGATACCAACGTCAGCTTTCTTTATCAAGAGGATCTGTTAAGAATGACTTAGAAGGATCTAAAATTATCAACTACCATAGAAATATATTTCATGTAAAATATTTTCTTTCAATTTTTGTTTATGGCAAATGGGATACTAACGCTAATTATAACAAGCATATGCTATTAATTAGCTAAACTCTTTGCTCTTTTCTAAAAATATTTACAATCTCTGAACCCAAAACTTAGCCAAAAATCAGGAAAGATTAAGAATGGCAAGGAATGTGATACAGAGTCCTTGACGGCTTAAGCGCTCGAAAGGCCCCTTGGGTAATAAATTAAAGTCAACAAAAGCGAGCGCTGATTAGTTGGCTATCGATGTCAGCCAGGTAAATAACAAAGTTTAACAAATTACGTCAGGCACGAATCGAAATGGCCAATAAAAAAATTTGCAAATCAATGCAAATGACGGGGCAAACAATGGACGGTGCGGGGAGTTGGGAATCGAGGGGTTTTGATACATAGGAGGCGGCACACAAAACCGAAAGCAGAATTAATTAAGCAAAGTGCGAGGGGGCTGGGGGAGGGCCCGAGATTAGCAAGCAAAAGATGTCAGTGTGTCACAAGGATGCCGATAAACGAGTTTCCCCCCTCTTTCGATTTTGAATATTAGACAAATTGAATTAGTTTTGTTTTTTCATCGAAAACAGGAAAAACGGGAAACTTCTGCCAAATGCTGATATAGAAGTCGAGATGCTCTGCGGTTAGCTATGCTTTAGTCAGGCTTTAGAAATACTTTCACTGAATAAACAAATGATTCATTAAAAATGATAAGAGAAGGTTTGCCAAAGATTCTCATTTCAATATCATTCTAACCACTTCAATTTTATTTGAAAGTATTACTAATTAATTTATCTAGCCCAAAGATAAGACATAGCTCATCTGTGCAGTTTCATTTATTTGTCTGCAGTGGCGTAGAATAATTTTCATTAATCAATTTTTAATCAGTTCTTCGAAACTAGTCAATTTATTAATATTTGATTGACCTGTTCCACACACTTTCCTTCTATTCCTAAAATTGTTGATGGCCTGTTCCGTTCGTTTAATGAAAGTGCATTCGCAGCGGCAGCAACAGTTGCTGCAACAAGTTGCACTTGCATGTGCCACTGTGCACCGAAGCATGCAGGTGAGAGAGAGAAGGATGGAGCGGTGTGCGAGTGGAATGGCGAGTCAGATGCCAAGTCACACACACAAACAATATGCTTTAGAATTTTAGTTTAATGATTTGTAACCGGTTTTCGAGGTGGCAACTCCCGTGAGACGGCTGCTGCATTTGCTGCAGGGTTATTTGTGCTCTGCCTTGCCTTACGCTCGCCCTCGCCGTCTCTCCATCATCCAACGCCTCTGTTTAATTACACCTCTTCCTACGAACAACTAAAAAAATAATAACAATAGCGGAAGTTATACAAAAGCCGCAGAACCGGCTGTATAACAAAAAAAAAAAAAAAGGGAAAAAAGAATATAAAAAAACAACAAGGGTTGCGATAAGGCGAAAAAGAGTGGAGTTACGGCAACTGCGAGAGTCGAACATGTGACGAAAGCAGTCGAGTTTAACAGCATTTAACTGTTGTTTACACTCTTGATTGCCCTTTGATGTTCTAACTAGTGCAGAAAAGCTCACACACCAATATACGGTTTGAATGGCTTATACTTACATATATATACTTAAGCATTTGAAATTAGAAATTCCTTTTGGAAAATTCGATCGTAAAAGATTTGGACTGTGAAAAATATTTCAATCCGTATTGATTGCTAGGAATTTCTCGAGATTCAAAAAGCAATTTCAGAGTCATCTATAAATATGCAGAAATCCTAACCAAAAATTATCTTATTAATGATTAGCAAAAATATAAAAATATATATAAAATATTGTTTTTTAAATAAAGAGTATGGCAGTATGGGAAAGCTAATGGAAACGTGTTTTCACATACAATTCCGAAACAATTTCTGCCTCAAGAGCGAGTCCGCGAAAAATTAAATGAAAATTAAACAGGCTTACCTCGAATCCGGGCGCTAAAATGGCCATTCAAGTCCAAATGCAAGGCGAGACTTTCCGTTTTTGTTGGTTTCATATACTTTTTATATATGTTTTTTTTTTCAAGTTGCTTTCAATCAAAGCGAATCAAATCGAAATGAGCAAATGGCACGGCTACTGCAAATTGTAAAAAATTGTATTTATTATAGACATTGACTTGGCGCACACTTTCACGGCACAATTAATTGGCTAGATTTTTCCCCATCTCTGCCACTAGCATCTCGGCCACTTCATTTTCCTCTTCTGGGCAAACAGCTGGCCAACTTGTTTGCACACATTTCGCACAGTGGAATGGACAAAAACTTTCGCTCGAAACGGATGCAGCCAGCAGCCAGCAGCCAGAAAGGAGATGAAGTGCCGGGGTGATGAGGAGTTCGTAACTGGTTTCTTGTAACAGGAATTCTTGCTCGCTTTTTTCTACTTTTTCCTTTTTCTTTAATTTTGATTTTCCATCAATTTGCACTTTTTTGCTCGGCTATGTTTGCCATTTTTATTTGTTTATTTTTATTTAATTTTTACTTCCTTTTGGCCTTCTGGCGCCGCTTGACTTATTTACGAGTTGTTCTAATTTATTTTGCTGGCCCACAAACAAATATTTTTATTTATCCCGCTTCGCACTTTCTTTCGGCGTTTTTATGGCCCAAAAAGCGATCTGCTTTTTCTTCTTTTTATTTTTGTTTTGCTATTTATAACAGAACGCGCGCACACACACCATCACACATAGTCAGGCACAAAGCAGGTGAAAATTAGTGCAGAAATCTTCGCTGATCGTACAAATAATTTCGCCTAAATTAATTCCTCTGTTTAATACACACACGTTTTTGGGGAAACCCACACAACTCGAAACGCACGTGAGCCGAACTTCCCGTCCGCCGTAGAATAAATGAACTTTAATATATCCAAGCATCAAGAACTCTATTTACCTAAAACAAACAATTCATTTTTTGTTGATAATTTTTATATGCCGACCGTTGCGAGCGACCGGAACGCAGAGAAGAAAGAATTGAAATGAAAAAAATCCCAATTCGCATATTATTTTATTTAATGGCTCTCTACGTTGCGCTCTCTCTATGCGTCTCACGCTCTCTTGAACGAAAATGTTAGAGTACAACAGAGATGTTAACATTTCTTGTCACTATTAAAAGACTGATGTACATATCCTACATTTTGATCGCAACTAAATGTAAAACATTTAAATGGCTTGTTATTCAATGAATAATATTCATATAAAAAATAACATCCTGTTTAGGAGATTTTTGATGATTTCAAAAAACCCATACGATTATGTTAACAGAGCTGCTTATGTCTGAGTTCTCGAGTACTCGAGTACGCCAAGATCGGTTTAAGGCAACGCTAAGTAATAGTAGTTATGGTGCATGTCCAGTCTAAAGATCCTGAAGCATGAAAATTACAATTTTTTTTAATCGTATACGAAACATAATCTCAGCTAAATAAACCAGCAATTCCTCTGGTTTTCGCTAATATATCTAAATTTAAAAAAAGTTGTAGTTCATTTTTATTCAACTTTTATTACAACGCCAGATGATAACTAAAAAATTGAGAAAATGTGTCTATGGATGTCTGTATAAAATGTACGAGGTGTGTTCAAAAAGTAAGGTGACTTTTCAAATTTCGCGGGCAACATATTTTCGATTATCGATTTTTTTGTTTTGTTATATTGGTACACTCTTCCCTAACATCTGTACCAAGTTTCAATGGAACATCCTCTTTTGTTTGGTTGTGAGAGGCGTAAAGTTACAAGTTATTTTGCGAGCTCGGCGATTTTTTGCTATCGAAAAATATGGATCAAAGGATTTGCATCAAATTTTGTGTAAAAAATAAAATTAAGTGCTCTGAAACACTTGAAATGTTGACAGTGGCATACGGTGAAACTGTTCTGAGTAAAAAAAATGTGTACAAGTGGTACAAACTCTTCCAAGATGGCCGGGAAGATGCCAATGACCAGCCTCGCTCTGGACGCCCAAGCACGTCAACAACTGATGAAAACGTTCAAGCAGTGACGAAAATTGTTTTGGAAAATCGTCGAATCACTATCAGAGAAGTTGCTGAAGATGTCGGTATATCGCTTGGCTCGTGCCATGAAATTTTTTCAAACGTTTTGGGTATGAGTCGTGTGTCAGCGAAGTTTGTTCCGAAATTGCTGAATTTTGACCAAAAGAACCGTCGCATGAGCATCGCTCAAGAGCTGTTGAATGACGTCAACGACGACCCAGATTTACTCAAAAGGGTCATAACTGGTGACGAATCATGGGTATATGGTTATGATATCGAAACCAAAGCCCAATCGTCCCAACGGAAGAGCCCAGGCGAGCCAAGAGCGAAAAAAGCACGCCAAGTTCGATCAAATGTCAAAGTTTTGATCACTGTTTTCTTCGATTACCATGGCGTGGTGCATCAGGAGTTCTTACCATATGGTCGTACGGTCAATAAACAGTATTATCTGGAAGTTATGCGCCGTTTGCGAGAAGCAATACGAAAGAAACGTCCAGAATTGTGGAAAAACAATTCATGGCTTTTGCATCACGATAATGCCCCTGCTCACTCATCTTTGCTTGTGAGAGATTTTTTGGCCAAAAACAACACCACAATAATGCCTCAGCCACCATATTCACCGGATTTGGCCCCATGTGACTTTTTCTTGTTCCCAAAACTGAAGAGACCTATGAAAGGACGGAGATTTGCAACGATTGAAGAGATAAAGACTGCATCGCTGCAAGAGCTCAAGGCTATACCGAAAAGTGCTTATGGGAAGTGCTTTGAGGATTGGAAAAACCGTTGGCATAAGTGTATTGTATCTGAGGGGGATTACTTTGAAGGGGACAACATAAATATTGATAAATAAATTAATAGTTTTTCTTGAAAATACAAAGTCACCTTACTTTTTGAACACACCTCGTATTATATCATATTTGAAATTTAATTACATATAATGTTGGAACATGAAAATAAATATCAAAACCAGTTTTCGTAGTTTTTATCTATTGAACTAAATATGGCATCGAAAGATTTTTATTAAGTTCCCTAAATAAAATAATGACAATGAATTAATGAAATGACAAAACACTCAGCTTACTAACTATTTGGCCAATTTTCACTAAGAACAACGAGTTACGAATACAAAATATATAAACGGTGGGTGTACATTGCAGTTAAAAAACGAGTCTTCCTCTCTGTAGCCTGGGAAAAGGAGTTATTGCATTAAAAGCCTACTAAACTAGGGCCTACAACTTAGAATAGCGCTTTGCAGAGGTCAAGATCGGGTCGAGGGTGTTGAGCAGCAGACCATGGAGACATCCAGAGGCAGATCCTGCGAGCAGGCAAAGGTCGAGGTGCTAGAAGTCTCGTTGAAGCCGCTGTCGGCACGATAAAGCGGAATCCTTGGTCCTTGCTGTGGCATTACAACCAAAGGTGGCTCTGCCGGCTGGATAGAACCCTGATCGTTCTCTTGCTCCCCTTCCTCCTCCATATTGGCACTAAATGACTGCGAGAGGTTCTTGCGTTGTGCCGACCTATGTCTTTTATGTCCGCGCGGAGTATCTGAATTGGAGGAACTGCAGTTAAAGCTTAGGGTGGATAGTTGCATGACCTCGGCTTCCTCCTCTTCGTACTCCTCAGATTCTTCCTCTTCTTCGCTTTCCTCGAACAGCGGCTGATCCACTGCCTCAATCACCACCTGTCGTGTGCTGTTCACTCGCAGCCGACTAACCCGCTGATTAATGCTGCAGTCCGAGTGTTCCAAAGCGCCCATCGGCGAAGAGCTCCTGTCAGGCGTAAACCTCAAAGCCGTGCGCTCCGACAGCGTGTCTTGCTGCTCCGTAACGCTGACCTCCACCTTGGAGTACACCAATCTTCGACTAAGGTGTTCAGATGGAGCTATGGGCGATGGCAGTTCCAGCTCCTGCATTAGAAGTTTTCTCTTTTCTGAGCAATTGCCATCATCCGGAGTTCCAGGAGGCAGACCGCAGAGATTTCTAATGGGTGAAAGACAACCAAAGCTTCCTTCTCCGGAAGCAGAGTCCGATAGTCTGCCTGCAAACATGGTTTGCTTACCCTGCGGACTAGAACCCACCATGGGCGATGACTGTTCTTCTCCAGGATCTTGTTCGCCCAAAACAACAACATTGTGCAAATCAAAGAGTTTCCTGCGCATGGAACTGTTGAAAATGTCATTACCACCTGTGGATTTGGTTCTGCCGGAAAGACGGGCGGCCAAATGTGGCTGGAAATACGGACGCAGCGCATCCTCCAGAGCTTTTGGCAGTATCGGAGGCAAAGTTAATTCCGTTTGCACCTCGCAATCCTTCTTTCTCCTCGACTTATTCGATATGGGGGTGTTGTCCTCGTTATGGTTAAGTATTATTCTGTGTTTCCTCAACGGACAATCCACAGGACTTGGCACAATATGTGATTCCTTGAAGAAGGCACTGATGGCCAGCTGGGCTTTAGATTCCTGCTCAGGATCAGGAGAATCGTGGAACTGTGTTTCGTGGGGCTCGACATCGGCAGGTTTCAATTGAGAGACCTCGTCTATGTTCCACTCGAATTGAGTCGACGAAAGTTGGGGAGTCCTCGAGCGGAAAAGCGAGGGACTAAAAGGGAAAATCAGGAAGTAAGAAATGGATTTTCCCACAACAATTCCACTTAAAGAGAAACGTACCTTGCAATAAGGGGCAGGTGCAAGCGATCAGTCATTGCTCCCTCAAAGGGATTTCTCACCTTGTGCAGCCTTTTCGGGGGCGGGGTGCATACACTGCCCGACATCTGGGGGCTAAATTTTCCATTTTCCTTGCCGCCATTCGTTGGCGTTGCCGACGACGCCGTCGAATTGTTGCTGTTTGTGTGGCTATTCCTGCGCGTCCTGCACTTCAGGCCGCTGAGATTCGTGAAATATCGATTCTTGAGGGCTTGCGGCGTTCGCACCTCGTCGTTGTACATCTTGTCCAATAAAAATTTTATCTAATTTCGAATTATTAAAATGGTACAAGCGCGCCTGCTGCGATTGGCAGCAGATGTCAGTATTTTCAAATGTAACAGTGTTGGGTAAGGCTGCAGCGGAGTTATCGAATCGTTGACCATTCGAAAAGTAAACTGCCAAATTGGCATGCTTCTGTGGATATTTACTATTTTAAGTATAAATTGCGGTTTAATTCTAATAATACTTTCTTTATTTGTCGGGCCTACAATAATTTCAGTCTATTATACAACTTTTGGTATTTTTTTATTACGCGCCAATTGCTGTTTATCCTCGATAACAAAACAGCTGGCCGGCATTTACCGTTTTATTATTTAGAGAGCCCAGAGCAGAAAATTATGTATTTGTAAGTTTTAAAAACAGCTTCAACCGAAAACTTACATATTAATTTATATATTAAGAAAAGTAATTTTGTAATATTTATTTATAAAAATTTCGTTTTTATCTTTTAAATAAATGTATTGAGGGAAATCAAATATTTTAAAGCACGTGCACACCAGAAAACTATAATTCATAAACATGTTTAATAGGTATATTAAAATTTTTAATGTGTGATGTTACATAATATTATTAAGTAAAGTTCAAGTAAATATAAGCAAATTGATGGTGCTTTAATTAAAAAATGAAAATATATATCTGAGGTATTTTAATGCGATCTGCCAACTGGTTACACTGCCAGCTGTCTTTCACCAACACACACTCTTACATCGGCTGGCTGCGTGTGTTTGCATGTGTGTGCAGTGCGAAACAGAAACAAGAAACAAGAAAAGCAAGCGAAAAATCACAGAAAACTTAAAAATTTGCTAACTGCAGAATAAGCCCGCCGGGCGGAACCGCAAAAGTGGCCAAAATTCGGCGAAAACAGCGCAAGTGTGACAAAGCATTCGTGCCACTGCATTCGTCGGCGAAACGGGCGAAAACAAAAGAGAATAGTGTTGATAGTAATACGAGCGTATTCAGCAGCAGCAGCAGCAGTAGCAGTGGCAGAGGAACGGAACGGTGGGCGGTGGGTGCGGACACGGGCCGGGGAACGGCCGACAACGAAACAGCGGCAGCAGTAGCAGCAGCGACAACAACAACTAAAACAAAAACAACAGCAAATGCCGGTCGATTTATCACCGCTGATCAAATCAAAATAGTTAAGAGCAACGAAGAAAAGGGCCAAAAGAGAAACAACCCTCTAGATGACACAAAACATTTGCGTTTATCAGACTGTTTGCGTACCGTGCAAAAGCTTGCTATTGAACTTGAGAGCGCCGACGCCGGCAGAGACGCAAACGCCGACGTTAACGTCAACGCTAACAGCGCTGTCATGTCGGAGACGGGCTGTCGGCATTATCAGAGCTACGTGAAGGAGCACAGCTACGATACATTCCGGGTCATCGACGCCTACTTCGCTGCCTGCGTCAACAGAGATGCGCGCGAGAGGAAGGTGAGTAGTAGGATATGGTCGGGGCGGTGCTGTGCAACAGAGACGAGTGCTGCACTGAAGAGGTGAGGAAGGGCAAAAGGTAAAACGCCATCAGGGATGAGCCATTATTTGCTTATACCGTGAGTCAGTCACGGCAAAGGTCACTGACACACTAGCGGTTATTGATGGAAAACACGAAATTCGCACTGAGTACATCCACAGTGAGAATACTATTTTCAAAAATACTGTTCATAGTAGGTAAATACTGTTCCTTTCATTAACTCTTTTAATAAGTTTTTTAACGATAATAAGTCATCTTCCTTATATTAGAAAAAAGGGACTTAGTAACAAGATATCTTACAAAAGCTGCCAAAACGTTTTTTTTGAAAATCGCCTTATGTCTCGAACGAACTTGTTTAAATGTAAGGAAAACAAAGCTTTTGTTTGAAGTATACATTTTCTTTATTTTTAACTGTTATTCTTTTCTTAAATATGTGTGTTCTTTAAACATATCTTTATAAAATACAATTTATTTATTTATTTAAATCGACTTCAATTATACAACTAAAGTTAACTTCAAACTAAGGCATTTTGCTCGGCTAGGGTACCAATAACTTTTAATTCTGGATATTATGTATTATAATAAATTTTATAAGCCTAATTATATTTTAAAAATTTATATTTTTGTAATCTTTTGTTACTTCTGCAGGCGATCCACTGCAACTGCTTTGAGTGCGGCAGCTACGGGATCCAGTTGTACGCGTGCCTGCACTGCATCTACTTTGGATGTCGTGGAGCCCACATCACGAGCCACCTGCGTTCCAAGAAGCACAATGTTGCTCTGGAGCTGTCCCATGGAACGCTCTATTGCTATGCATGTCGAGATTTCATCTACGATGCGCGGAGCAGGGAATACGCGTTGATCAACCGCAAGCTGGAGGCCAAGGATTTGCAGAAGAGTATCGGTTGGCTGCCATGGATTCCGACGGCGAAGGAAACTAATCTGTTGCTGGCGAATGCCAGGCGAAGGTTGGTGAGGCCCAATCAAACGATCGGACTAAGGGGACTGCTTAATTTGGGTGCCACCTGCTTTATGAACTGTATAGTTCAAGTGAGTAAAGTCCAAAAATACGCTGAATTCATCAAGTTTAATCACTTACTGTTAACCTCCAGGCTCTGGTTCATACGCCCTTGTTAAGCGACTACTTCATGTCAGATCGCCACGATTGCGGAAGCAAGTCCTCGCACAAATGTCTCGTTTGCGAAGTATCACGCCTCTTCCAGGTGAGCCATTCACACAGTGCTTAGTTATGGCTCTATTTTAAGGCTATGGGATGGTTAGACTAATAAAGTTGTAAAGGGCGTAGGAAATTATAAATATGTCTTAACAATTCTATACTTAGTTAAAAAGGACTTTGTTGTTCGAAAAATGTTCCCACAGATGTCTCTTATAAAATTAGGAAATATTTATTTTGAAACTGTTAACATTTCCAATAGATAGCGCATGCGTCAAGTGGCTATATTGATTTTGAAATTGGTATATATTTCTCTATATAATTCCTTTTTGCTTGTTTTCATGTTGGGTTTTCATAAATTACATCTTTTGTAGGAGTTCTATTCGGGCTCCCGTTCGCCACTGTCATTGCACCGGCTACTGCATTTAATTTGGAACCATGCGAAGCACTTGGCTGGATACGAACAGCAGGATGCGCACGAGTTCTTCATTGCCACTCTGGATGTGCTGCACCGGCACTGTGTGAAGGCAAAATCGGAGCACGAGAGTAAGAGCAACAGCTCTGGCTCCGGAAGTGGTACCAATTCCAGCAGCTCAAGCAGCTCGCACTGCTATGGGCAGTGTAATTGCATTATCGATCAGATCTTCACGGGTATGCTGCAGAGCGATGTGGTGTGTCAGGCCTGCAATGGCGTTTCCACCACGTACGATCCTTTTTGGGACATTTCTTTGGATTTGGGAGAAACTACAACGCATGGCGGAGTTACCCCCAAAACCCTAATAGACTGCCTGGAGAGATATACTCGCGCCGAGCACCTAGGATCAGCTGCTAAAATCAAATGCTCAACCTGTGAATCCTACCAGGAGTCTACCAAACAGTTCAGTTTGCGCACTCTGCCCAGCGTCGTATCCTTTCATCTGAAACGCTTTGAACACTCTGCTTTGATCGATCGCAAGATCTCATCGTTTATTCAATTCCCCGTTGAGTTCGATATGACGCCCTTTATGTCGGAGAAAAAGAATGCCTATGGGGATTTCCGGTTCTCGTTGTACGCTGTGGTCAATCATGTGGGCACAATCGACACAGGGCACTATACGGCGTATGTGAGGCATCAGAAGGATACTTGGGTCAAATGCGATGACCATGTGATAACGATGGCATCGCTCAAGCAGGTGCTGGACAGCGAGGGGTAAGAATAACCTATATTAAATAGTCCGCCTCATTATATCTTTTTTATATTTTGAATATAAAGTTGCATTTTCTCAAACTTTATGAATTCACATTAGAAGAGATAGTCTATTACCTTGATTAAAACTTACCAATCAGCTTTCATGCGAATTATCTTTCACTTTTTCAGTTATTTATTGTTCTACCATAAAAACGTGCTGGAATACGAGTAAAAAAGTTCGTTGGATCGAAGCCACTGCATTCTCCAGAAATACACACAAAAGCAGAAATCGTTACGAATAAACAAAAAACAAGAACACAGACAAGGCCGCGGCAGCGTTTACGAATTAAGTAATATTAAAAAAAACAAATCCTATAATGGGTGTTCCCTGGATTGAGGTTATCTAAGCTCACATACTCAAAACATTGGAACAATAGAGAACGAAATAGAAATTAATGAAAATTGTAATCTGAACACTCGACTTGTGGGGATACCCATTTTTCTCTAAGTATTTCAAATCCATAATACTAAAAAACTAATTTAAACAAAGCAGTTGACTTCTACATTTATATATTATATAAGAGTTAAACCAGGGATATGAAACGCGCACAAACAAGCTCAGTATTGCAGATGTTGTAGAATGCTGTTAATATTTGATTTTCGAATATCGAGAGCATAACATTATGAATTATATGACACATTTGATTACACTGATCCACAAAGTAAAAATATTCTTAGGGTAAAATCATTTTATTTATAACACTTAAATTTTTCTAAGTAACAGTCATGTAAGAAATTTTTGTGCATTTTGGGGTCTTTAAACGCATGTATTTTGTTTAGTTCGAATATTTATTCAAAAATGTATTCATACAGAAACTTACAACTAGAATAATTATTGAAGGTCTAGAAAAAAGGATATTAATCAGCAAAACGTAAAAAAAACTACTTTTACCATCCACTTGGGCTCGTCCGGGAATTGAACCCGGGACCTCTCGCACCCGAAGCGAGAATCATACCTCTAGACCAACGAGCCTCGGTACGCTAAGCGTTCAAAATGCTGGCTTTCAACTTGCGGCGTTTTTGTTGTCTTTATGAAAGAGACATCTATAGTGCGCACATGGTTTGCAAACCAGCTATTTTAGCCGATACACAATCCCTTTGCTTTTTTACATTAAATCAATTCTTATACTATTTATTTGAATTTCATGTTTTTAATAGAGCTTTTGATTAGATTTCGGACTCTGATCAATTTTAAAAATCTTGTTAAACAAAATGTAGACATACATAAAATTTCAATAACTTTAAAATTATTTTGTCTGAATTCGGCCTCCAAAGTCCTTAAAATTGCTGACAAAAATATTATTTCAGAAACATTTTAAATTTTGTTAATAAGTAACTCTTTTATTATTTAATCCTCAAATTCATCTTCAGAAAGGTAAAATTCTAAATATGCATTTACAAATTTCCAGAATTTGGTGTGGTAGTCAACTGCAAATGCAAGTACATATTACAATAATGATGAAAGTTATTTATCTAAGAAGTAACGCCAAATTTGAATGGCTTACTTGCTGTGAAACCAGTTCTCATTAAAATATTAATTAATGAATTAAAAAATCCATAAGACATTTTTTATCACAGGTATATATAATGCCACATTTTTCAATTTGTTTGCACTTTTAGGAGATCCGAGGCAGTGCATCGCTTTGAGATAGAAGTTTTGAAAGTTTAGTTAAAAGAGCATTTATATGAAATAAGGCGGAGCTAATTATTAATGTATGTAATGTTTTACTGGTTGTACAATCCGTGTAAAGAAAAGGTTTATCGAGAAAAAGCAAGATTTATTAGCTTTAATGATGTTAATGATCTTACAAAAATCAAAGAGCGGAGCTTTGGATAATATGGCAACTGAAAATGAACATGCGAATCTATGATGCCAAGCGCTTCTAAAGCGGTACAGACGAGCCTTTCCTTTTCATGTTATGAACTAATTTCTATCCAATTCCATAATAACTGGAACACTGAATTCTGATAAGTATGTTAGCTGGAAATTCATATAAAAGGTTCATATATATACATGTCATAAGAAAACTTACCTAAATCCAAGCTCAAAGGTTGCCCTAGATCTTCAGGTCCAAGGTCTGAAAGAAGACATTAAAAAAACGAAAAGAATAACCTATACCAGTTTCACCTTGCCCATCCTTTAAATATTCAATAGTTAATGGGAATATATTTAAAGCCGGTACTTCTTGCAAAATACTAATTACTTCGGCCGTGTTTTTATTAGTTATCGTTATTTCCAGAGACATGATTCTTAAAACCCCGTATCAAACTTTGACCATAAACATCGGCTTCCTTAACGATTGGTCTACAAATCGACAAGAAGCCTGACCGCAACATAAGTGGTAGGATCTGCATTAAAATTGTTGTATATTTTCTTGGGCAGTGATGTAATAATGCTGCTATGGGCTTGGCCCAGGTTTTTTTTTTATTTTTTCTTTATTAAAAAAAAATCCAGAAGCTCCAATGGCAAATCTATGATATTGGTGGGATTCCCCATTTTCTTTAAGAAATAACGCACAACTCGCGAGAAAATTTGAATTGATATGAAAGGTTCCGATCAAATTGAAATCGGTTTGTAACTATAATCTGAAATTCCAGCACTCACGAAATCGGAATCGCGGAAATTGAAAAAGAATCAGCTGTGTATATATACACATATTCCACTGAACCAATTTTCGATAATAAAAATTCGTTGCTCCCTCCGTTGAATTTTGTGAGCTTTGCATAAATGTAGTAAAAACAAGAGGAAACGCTATAGTCGAGTGCCGCGACCATAAGATACCCGTTACTGTTTTACAAAATTTTAAAATATTATTTTGCTAGTGGTAATTCACAAGGCGCCACCTATTGTCAGAGGAAGTATGTTGAGTATGCTTATAGTGACGTCACTGCCCATGTGAGGCCTTATAACTTAATTTCTTTATAAATAGCGAAATAATTTTCCGATTTGAAAAATCTTTGGTAAATCGATAGGTATTAACAGAAATAAGTTACACAAGGTCAAACGAAGGCATTCATAATATTATTATAGACGCCACAGTTTTTCGCGGTTTGTGGGCGTCAGAGTGGGCGTGGCCGGATGCAACTTCGTGGAAAGTTGCAAAGGCATCTTCTAAATACGTGATCCTAAACAAAATTATGTAGCTCTTATAGTTTTTGAGGTTTTTGCATTTTTGGTTGTTCAGGTTTCGTGGGCGTTAGAGTGGGCGTGGCTTGATCGAAAAAAAACAATCTTCATGCTTAATCTCAACTTTGTATCTGCTATAGTTCCTGAGATCTCAGCGTTCATACGGACGGACGGACGGACGGACGGACGGACGGACGGACAGACGGACATGGCTCAATCGAATTCGCTACTGATCCTGATCAAGAATATATATACTTTATAGGGTCGCAAAAGCTTCCTTCTATCTGTTACATACTTTTCAACGAATCTAGTATACCCTTTTACTCTACGAGTAACGCGTATAAAAAGGGAAATTAAAGAACGACGATTTGGGCAATCTTGAATAAGTCTGGGCGTTATACGCACGCAAGAAAAGCGTGAGGTTATGTCAAATCTAACACGTTACCTAGACTTTAAAGGTGGTATTTCTTCACTTTCATATTATTAAATTAAAAATGAAACTTTTATCAAGCGTATTTTATTACAGTAAAACTGGACTATCTATAAAAAGTGCATTAAAAGTTTCAAAATTTTCAGATATCTTCGCTCTTAGCAGAGTCTTGGTTTCCTCATGGTGGGATAAATCAGCCATCAGGATAAATAAAAAATCAATCAGGATAAATAAAAAATCGGTATATAATATAATTATATATATATTAATATTAATATTAGTATTTAATAATTAATATATATACATATATAATTATATCTCTTTTTAGGTGCTCATACGATTTACAGTTATATTAAATAAGTGGATTTTGTTGACGAAAGGTTCAATATCGTCTGTAAATAAAATCATATATTAAAGAAAGCAAACAAAATGTGTTTTAATTTAGAAATAAAATTAATATTCTAAATATATATATACCTAGAATTAAAGGTGAAACTACGGCAAAACTACGCGCATGCATTTGCCCCAATGTATCTAATAAAAAATGTATCGATATTTCTTTAACTTGATTTGGTTTTCCTATTTTACAACACTTCTGAGCGCCGTTACTGAAAGTTGGCGTCGCCAATGATTTTTAGCTGGTTAAGTTAGATTTCTCAATTTTGGCTTTCGAGCTCTAGTATTCGTTACATTATATACATTCCAAGTTATAATACTATTATTAGCCAAGTCGATATAAGGCTAATACAATGTCATTCGGTAGCTATAAGTTTTCTTACGTGGTAAGACTCTAATGAAGATTTTATTGCAGTTAACTATGGGACCGATCCGAATTCTATAGCTGCTCGGCTCAGGCGGCGTTATGGAAACCTTACGGCTCCATCTTCGAAAAATGTCACCAATATTAGAAAGACGGTGTCGAAATCGCTTAATTCACTTTCGGCCAGCGGATCGGAGGTTAATCAGCAGGAGGAACGAGCTGCGGTGCTCGGGATGCAGACTCAGTTGGAGGGACAGCAAAAGTTTTGGTACGATCTTCCTGAGGGCTACAAGAAGAGCAGTACGGTTTGCATCTGCATGCGTAAGCACACGGCTTTTGAATGCGATCGTTGCCATCAGTATTTCTACGGTCGCATTTCTGAGATTTGCGAGAAACATCCCCATGTAAGTGTGGATTAATGACCTAATGACTTATAATAAGTAACCTTTAGGATAACTCTTATAATACTTAATATGCCCTACAGAGATACACCCAACTATACCTATTGCTAGTAATATTTCAATGTAATCGAGCCCCCTTATCATAAATGTTCATATATAATACGACAGCTTTAATATAAGCATCGCAACACTAAGATATCACTCTTTGTGAATTTACTAGCTTATTAAGAATTAATTCTTTTTGACCTCACCTCATTATTTTTTTTGTTAGTCACGAAGTTGACACTCACAACCTATTTTTGTTGGCACTAAAAATCTGATATGGTAACTATATAAGTTTCATTTAATTATTATTTTTCCTTTGAAATTATTAGGATTTTTTCCTTATGGACATCCGATCCTGCCCATATTGTAAGGCCCCAATCGAAATGATTAAGAAGTCGCAAATCAGTTGGGATGCTATACGTAAGATTGAAGAAGCCGAATTGCCGAGTGATTATGATCTATAATTTGAGTTTGAGACTCAAGTACATCATGACCTTAAATACATTATTAAATGTACAACTCTATAACTGTATAACTGTATAAATGTATAACTGTTAATCATAATAATAACATATTTTTGAGTAGTTTTTTAACATAGAAATTTGTTTGGTGCGGACTTGGTACTTAAGTGTATTTTTAGGTTTGGTGTAGTGCTAACATACGCTGTCATAGGGAAACACCGTCGCGGATATTATAAACGCTTATGGCCTAGTCAAGGTCTATTGGCACACTGACAGTGACTCGGCGCAATGTTTTTGGATAGAAGGACAATTTTTGTGCTGTTTGTAAAATAAGCAATTTTGAATTGTTTGGTCATTCATAGCACCTAACTATGTAATACCCCAAGTTATACACACTTGGACTGGACTAACCTATCTGCCATCATCCTTTTCAGCGCTGATTCTCAGCTTGGGCCATTCAAATCAGCGGACAAATTCATGTCACCGATAACAATTCAATCACTTAGTAGTTTAGCACATTTCGGAATCGCTTTACAATGCCCCAAGCCAAGTCCCCCCGGACCCATTGTGGTGTCATCCGTAGTTTCTAGTCCTGCGATTCCCTGGCTAAGTCTTGCTGGTAAGTACCGACGCTTTAGATTGCATTTGCCTCGACTTATTTTCTATTTTTCTTTTCTCGCTTTTGCTGTCTCCCAGTGCTGCAGTTTTCCCAGTAACATGCCAAGACATTCAATGGATTCACTTGTTCTTGGACTTCCACACTCAGTTTCTGTGAATCCACAATCTATTGCCTCAACAGGCGAGCATGTTGAATCAATGAGGCAGTGGACTTCCAGAACTTCTGGCTTAGTCATTGCTGATTTCGACTTAACTTCTTCGGCGATTTCAATGGGACACTTTTTGTAGTTGATGGCTTTTATTCCAAGCTTTTTACCATAGCTTGAATGAAAAGGTTGTCATGATATGAGGCGCGAAGTCTCATTAAGCTATATGGTTAATAGTTTAAACAAAACTAGAAACAAACAACCTTTTACACATTTTTCACACTAATGGTAAAAACTTTTTTGCCAACTTTTGTCAAGAACATTTTTTTTTTTAATTAGGAATTTGTAAATTGTAATTATGGTAAAAAACCTATTTACTACTTAACGTAATCCTAAACATTATTTTTAAAAATCCTAGAAATCTAGAAGCTTCAAAAAACTTCAAAAAAGATTATTGTCACAACTTTGTTAGGTCCAATCCTTATTCTTTCAAGCTTGTTTTTCAGTGCTTTTGTCAACGACTACATCTCTTGGTTAACTTGTTAATGCTTAACTACGAATCGCCATTCCAATGGCTACATAAACAACATCACCGGCACTTCCTTTCTGTCACTGGAAGACCATTATCCGGCAGTGTCCTCCCCTTTAACCCGATTCAAAACCAGGTCCGACTTAGTTGACGGCAACAGCTAGAGGATTCGGGCCCGGTCTCAGTTTCCATTTCAGCCAGTTGTCCTGCCAGTTGCGTCGGTCTGCGAATGTCTTTTTTGGCCTGTGGGCACTTTGGAATAACTTGAACAATTGCTTTCATGATGATTTCGTTTCGCCTTGGCCCCTCACTAAACCCTGTTTCCTTTAAACTCATTTAAAGTTCCAGCCTTGCATTGAAGCTTTGTTTAAGGAAACTACTTCAATAATATTCCAATTAGTGTAACTGTTTTTAAGCTTTAGCTCTGCATTCCCGTTTGCAAATTTTGTTTGGGATGTCCATTAAATTCAAGATAAAGTTTCGGTTAAAGATTTTCAAACAATGCTTTTGTAAAAAATATAAGGATATTTGCTTTTGCTTTAAGGTATTAAATATATGTCCCAATCATACCGAATTAAATGCTTGAACTTCGTTATTCGCTTCCCAAAACCTAAAAAAAACATAATTTATAATATTTAGAGGGGTTTAACTTTTTAAATAATCTAGGTTTCTAGAAATGTACATCTTTAAAACACATGATTGCACCCTTTATCTGACTCCTGTATGCAGCATAGACAAAGTTGGCGTAAGTATGTCGGCCTGCCTGGCCATTGTCCTCCGTGCCCTGCTTGACTACTGCGTTTGCCCTCTTTCCATTATTGAAGTGTGCACTTCCGCAAAATGGTATTTGGTGCAAGCACATAAGCTTAACCCCCCTTTGGGGACACCCCTGCCAATACTAGCACTGAAGTTAGTGGCACTTGCAATTTTTATGGCAAACAATGAAAGGGACACTAGATTGAAGGAGCAATGTGCGCCAACGAGAGATTTGCCTCTCGGGCGGAGATTATTTATTTACATATCCTACTAATGAAAGTTAAATAGCATTTTCCATTCGGATATTAGAAGAACAAGGTTTTTTAAATACTTGCTGGCGTTCATGGATCCATTTGGATATGGCTGTAAGTAAAAAAACTAGTAATTATATGGGATTCTTACATATACTTGTGTAGGTTAGTTACTCCATCTGGAACCCATTACGACTGGACAAACGGAGTGCTCTGTCAGAGGATCAGGTTGCCCAGCATGATCCAAGTTAAACCAGATCAAGGCATTACCCTTTTTGGGTTCTACGGATATCTTCAGTTTTGTAAAAACTGTAGTTCCACCCAGAGGAACATCAGTGGCCTGGATGATAGTAAGAAATTATTGGAGTTAATTTTAATTTGTTACCTCAACATAAGTATAACGAATAATTACGTAGAGCAACGCTGTAGCTATTCGATCACCTCCCAGGTCAGCAAAAAAGTCTGGCTACAAAAATGAAAATACATGTACATTTTATATATTCAGCTAATATAGAAACCACTCACAGGTCTTTTGGCCAGCTCAACGTAGTCAACATGTTTACCGAAATGACCACCTAGACCGTAATTAGTCAAGTACAGACCCATATTTCCGTGCATTTCCAAACCACTCATATCTGCTATTCGTCGATTGATGCTAAGGGTAAAAGAAGCTGTTGTTCCCTGAAAGGTAATCATTTTTACCACTCGATCCTGGGGTTTTGGTTTTCCTTCTTTGTCAAAGTCAACATAGGTCCATCCATCAGTCATGGTGGCATTAAATATGGCTATGTCTCTCATTGACTTGAATTCCTTTTCATAGAGCACTTCATGGTAAAGCACTATCAATGGTTGCATGTTCAGAAACTCCAGTTTAAGTGGTGCTATTTTAAGGAATGCCGACGTGTCCTTATTATAGCGACATACTAGTTCTGGCGAGGATTTCCTCTGCCATTCACCACGGCAACCTCGTTTAAGCTTAGATGGTTTGCGCTTTGATTGAGCGGCTACATCTTGGAAGATCTTCTCCTCTCCGGTTAGGTATTCATCAATTAAGTTTTTAACGTTGTCGTAGTTGTCCTTATGTACGACCTCTTTGGCCAAAATATTCCATTCAGACATTGCTAAGGGAGTGGGTTTTCCTTTATCCAAGGTTATGGCTACAATTTGATAGTGTGGCTATTAATCCACATATTTCATAAATCTTAAGTAAACTTACATTCTTTAAGCAAGGCTTTGGCATATTTTTTGTAAACCATTTTCCTTTTTAACCCCAGTACTTTTTTGTAAAGTTCGCCTTGGGGTAAAGTGTGAAGTCTTAACGCCATGCGGTACCAATGAGTTGAACCGGAGTATTTTGTTTGATTATAATGGAAATCAGCTAAGGCAACACAATCCGGAGCAGTGAAACTGGAGCTATTAGGAAATGGTTTTGTTTTCTTAATAAAGTAACATATTATTGGTATTCGACCTACTTAAATTGTCTTCCTAATAGGATGCCCTTGGTTAAGTCCGCTGCATGCTGATCGTAAAATTCTTCAATTCGCGTAATGCCCTTCAGGGCAACCTTAAGGTCATCATCACTAGGCGCAGACTTCAAGTGCACTTCCATTTCTTTGGTTTTCTTGGTAGCTATAGCCAACTTTATGTATCTCACCCATTTGGGCCAATCCTGATTAAGGCGCCTCAGTAAAGGAAAAGCATTTAAAGGATTCGCCATATATTCCTCCTTCTGGTCCAGCGTGGTCAGCGTTTCTCTTTTCAACGAATCTTGAAATCTACAGGTATCGGGAGTATTTGAGGTAATAAATTATCTTATCTTGGCACAACTTTAACTGTATTATAAATCGGATTCATTAAAACTTACAATTTGATCGTATCTAACTTTGACTGCATTTCCTGAACGTACACGTCCAGGTTTGCCTTTAAAGACTCTTCTATATCAAGTAGTTTTACCATGCTCATCACAGAAGTACTGTATATCATTTTTTCCTCTGAACTTTCTGTTTTACCAATGCAAAGAATAAGTCGAACCGAAAAAAATAAAAGGATGAACTGAAATATGAACCACTTCATCTTAGATTATGTGCACTACTGCAAAGACTTTCCGATTTATTAATAATGTTAAAGCCAAAACATCATGGCGTATTAGTAATGCTTGTTTTATTTGTGTTACAAATTAATAACAAATACTGAGCTATATCTCTGTAATGGTGTTTTTTCAACGATTTCACTTATATGTTCCAACTTATATGTTCCAACTTTATCAGATGATCCTCTTCATCTGCTGTAGACTATATTGAATATTATCACTAAGTCGAGCCAGTCATGCTTATCCGTTTGTTTATATGTCCTAAGATACAAGGAACTATAAATGGTGGAAAGTTGGGATTAAGTTTTAAGAGATTTCTGCGCACAAACGAAGAAGTTTGACTTATTTTTACTAATTACCCATCTTTACTTGGGAATTAAAGTAATGCGGTGACTTAGTTTGTTAACAACATATATATTTGAATTATATATTAAGCATAATTATTTAAAATTAGTGAACTTAGCAAGGGGCACTTGACTTCTTTGTTGAACGGAGTAAAGACTCCAAAGGTTTTAGACTTCGCTTTTAGTTTTTGAATATGACTTGCATGGCATGATAAACATTTGGGGGAAAAAATGGACCCATTTCGTAAGAGCTGAGAAATACAGATTCTTAAAATTAGGAAAACTCATAAGAAAAAACCTACTCCATCTATCTCCGTTGATAACAGGACACACAGAATGTTGACTTCTTTGATCAGGCCTTCCGTCGTCTAACAAATTGAACCAGTACAAGCTGCTGCCTTTCCGTGGGAAAACAGTGATATTTATTTTTGGAAAAACAGTTGCTCCACCTTGCTGCACGTTGCTAGCCTGTAAAAATAAATTATTAAAACCTAGTCATAGTTAAGAAAGCTTTAACTAAAGCTCACATAAAAAAGAACTGTGGATAATCGGTCTCCCAACTCAATAACATCTGGAGCTTCATAGTCGTCTGAGGTGAAGTCGAAGTGGGGATTGAAGTATGTACCCACGCCATAGTTAACGACCTGAATCTCATCAGTTTTGGAGAAATTGAATCCTGTCATATCAATAATCCGCTGATTGATACGCTCTCGCATTAAAGATTTATCATGCCAGAAGGCAAATTGACCCACAGACTCCCTGATTTCGGTGCCATTTTTTTCGGTTGCATAGGCATTGATCATGTTCACTGATTGGCTTTTAAGACCCTCAATCTCTGAATCGTACAAAACTTCGTGGTACATTGCAATGTATGGATCCAAATTGATTTCTTCAAATTTCAGAGGTGCCAATCGCAGAAAGGGTGTCGTGTCGAATTTGTACCTGCACACAAGATTTGTTTTTCGGCGATATAGTCCTTGGCATCCGATTTCAAAATTGGTAGGACTCCAATTCGTCAAATATAACTCTTTTTCCACTTCAACATCATTGGCAGGATCATTCAGATTGGACATTATGTCATCCAATTCCTCTTTGCTGGCTTCTGCAAAAGAGCTCTCCGCAGCAATCGATGCTTCATCGCTAGATGTAGCGGGATCTGATGTACTAGTGCCTGAAATGTAACATGTTTTGAGTTATCGACTGGATTATTATTTTTGCATTACCATATATGAATAGTGCTTTGATGAATTGGCGATGAAGGTATTCGGATGGGTTGCCCAAAACCTCATTCAATAATTTATCTGAATATTTCTGTTCGTGTTTACAAGCAATTCGATACCATTTGGCAGCTGCTTGATAGTCGCGTTGCTCGAACATGAAATGTCCCATGGCTATTAGGTCGCGATAGGTCAATTGGATACTGCAGAAAGTTTTTAGCCTTAAATTCGACATTTCTATAATAGAGCGTATGTTTACTTGTGCTGCTGGCCCTGTAGAATACCCTGTGCCAAATCATCGATTTTTAAGTCGTATATCCTTTCGATTCGGTGAATTCCACGCATTGCCGAAATTAAGTCCACTCTGTGTGGCACCTTTTTAACAATATCGTCCAGTATACTTAAATTCCCTGTTTAAATTAGACATTCCAATTAATATTTTGAAGATAAATTGGGTTTTCAATGGGCAGGTAAAGTAAATGATACACATATAATATAAAAACGAAAGTTCAGCACTCGCCATTTTTGATAGACTTCCTGAAATAGGCGTGCCATTTTGGCAAATCTTCGTGGGTGCGCCTTAAAAGTGAAAAAGCGTTTAACGGATTGGAAATATACTCCACTCTTTCTTTCTGGCTTTCAACTGTATAAACTGAAGACAAGTACCTAAAACTGATGCGGGTACAACAACGACAAAGTAACATATTTTGATATCATTACTTTTGAAGGAAATGGGTTTCTTCTTCAAGTTGTCCTATGTAATTTATAAGGCAATCGGTGAATTCTTCTTCCACTTCCATCAGTCTTAAAAGACCCACATTTGATGAGCTGTACTTTACATTGCTTTCATTATTCAATTTATCCTCGGCTCTTCCGAAAAATCTTTGCCCACAGAGGAACTGAATTGCTAGTAAACTTAGATAATGTTTCATTTTTACTAAAAGCAAATCATGAGTAAAGAAAAGTTTTAATTCTTTTCTAAACTAAATTGATTTTTTAAGGTTTAATTGATTGGGGACGTTGGTATTTTTTAGTATATTTTAAACTTATTGCTGTTAACTTTACATTAAAAGAAATCGATTCCCTCCAGTTTTGGTCTACAAAACTGGTTCACCATTTTGGTAAGAACTAAAAGTAAAATAAACGATAAATAAAATAAACATAATAAACAAGAAATCTGTTTTTGCAGGTACCTCTTTTGAATCCTTGAAGCACTGGGCATTCGAAATGTTCGATCCGAGACGCTGGACTTCCATTGACGGATCCATCATTCCAAAACAAACAGCTGCCTTTTTGGGGAAAGACAGATATTTTAAACTTCGGAAAGATCGTCGCACCACCTTGCTCCACATTATTAAGCTGTTTTTAAATAGAAAAATATTAATTCATAAATTTGGTTCTCAAACTAGGAGGATTCTTACGAAGAATAGTAATACCCCCATTCGGTAATTCTCCTTGTAATTGTAGGACAAATTTTCGTAAGCCCCTTCAAGTGGAAAACTAGATCCTGATATGTCGCTGATGCGTTTTTTGATAGCTTCTGTCTCCCATGCAGTAAAGTTATCCGATTGCTGCTTTAGCTTTTCGATCTCTTTGTCATAAAGAACTTCGTGATATATTACAATGCGTGGATCCAGGTTTACAACTTCCTGTTTAAGAGGTGCCAATCTTAAGAAATCAGACGAGGTGAAATCGTAACTGCAAACTAGCTTTTTCCTTGTGGAAAACTGCCCACGACATCCCAATTCGTAGTCTGTTGGAGCTGTCTTATTCAGGTTCATTTCCCAAACTATTTGTTCGTCACTTTGGCTTAGTAATTCGGTTATGAGAGATTTTACATCTGCCAGTCTGGCTTTATTCAGGGCTATGAGGGATATCTTCGTAGCTTCTGTGATAGTCAGCGAAGGATTCGACTTTATCATGCCTAAAGGTAAAATATAAAGTATTGATAAAACTCGTACATAAAGCTTACCAAATATTATCATTGATTTTGCGTACTGCATATACAATTTATCCTTCGGATCTCCCAGAATATCATTGATATCATTTACTTCGGGATTCTTTTTTATGGCCGCGCGAAACCACATTGACGCTCGCTTGTAGTCTTCATTTTTCAATTTGTGTTCACCCAAAACGACACAATCTCTTATGGAAAGTGTAATGCTGTAAAGTAATGCTATTACGATTTTGATTTTTTTTTTAAGATTGTGTCTTAATAACTTGTGTTCTTTATTATGCAGACGACCTCTTGCTAAATCGGTAGCTTCTAAGTCGTAAGTCTTTTCTAGTTGATCCATTTTTTCCAGGGAGTACTCCAAGTCCTTTTCATCCGGGGCTTTAGATAGTATTTCTTCTAAGGCATATAGTTCCTCTGTGTAAAATGATTTATTATTTATTTAATTTTTTTATCAAGATAAAGTTTTTTGACGGGAAGTAACTACTGTAAACAAATTCACATCTTATGATTTATACCTTACCAGCTTTACAGCTTCTATGGGTCCATATATTATATATTATAATTATATGAATGAATTAAGTACCTAGTCCCACAATCTGCTGCGAGTAGTTGTGCCATTTGGGCATGTCTTGATGTGTCCTTCTTACCAGACTGAAGGCATTTAATGGATTACTGACGTATTTTTCACGATCCTCTAAGCTTTCATTGACCTTGTAATAAACTGAGTCGATATATCTGTGAGGACATACTTGATATTAAAGATTATATCTTTTGAAGAACCATTCCTTACGCTTGCAGATTCTTAACCTTCTCGGCCAGTTTATTTGTGTATACCCTTATGTTCTCTATGAAGTCTTGCTCCATTTCGAGAAGCTTAAGGAGTCCTGTGATTGAAGAGCTATATAGATCGTTGCTGTGTTTGTGAACATTCTTTGTAGTATCGCCAGTAATTTGCCTGCATAAAAGTAAGAATATAAGCGTACTCCTAAAGCTTGCCATTTTGACTGACTAGAACATGGCAGGTAGTTAAGAACCTAATAAGCATTACTAAAAAATTTGTTATACTTGTAAAAAAAAATAATTTTATTAAACGCTAATTAAAGGAGCTTTAGGGAGCAGCCTGGGGCTGCAGGGTTTTACAAATATTTGTGGTTCATAGTGTATCCACTTGGTAATAGCTGAAATGGGATTATCATTACCTCGGGTTCTTTATAATATGTTTCCACGGTACTCACTCCATCGAGAACCGACTATAACAGGACAAACAGAATGCAAGGTTCGCGGATCTGGCGACGAATCATCGAAATCATTGAACCAAAATAGTGCGTTGCCCTTTATGGGCTCCACTGCCACTTTAACGTCTGGGAAGACTGTTTGTCCACCTTGTAGAACTTCTCCAGCCTGTCGATAAAATAAAAAAGTTTAGTTTAGCACTTTTGGGAAATATATTGAACTTATACATAAAATATAAGGCTTGCTATTCGGTCTCCCAGAGTATTGTTGGCATCCACTAATCTTAAACGCTCTTCAAAATAATCGTAATGAGGCTTAAAGTAGCCACCAACTCCAAAATTGGCCAATTGTAAGGCGGGGAACTCATCCAATTTAAAGCCCGTCATGTCAGCTATGCGTTGATTTATTCGATCCCTGAATGGGGAATCTTCCGTTATCCAATAGATTCGGGAAACGATTTCCTTTGGGTCTTCCCAATCACTCAACCCATTGTACATTTCCTTAATCTCTCCTTTCATTTCCTCGATTTCCCTGTCCGTTAACACTTCATGGAACAATACAATGTATGGGTCCCGGCTTATCTCTTCAACTTTTATGGGAGCCAGTTTTAAGAAAGCGTTTGTAGTCGAGTTGTAACGGCAGATAAGATTGTTCTTTTTGGGAAATCCACCTCGACATCCAATTTGATGGGATGTTGGAGATGTTTCCGGGCTTTCGGTACCATAGAAACTATCCCATTGTTTTAGCTTTAAGCTGATGAAGTTTTCTAAATCTATTGGTTTGGCTTCACGGAACTGACGGCTTACTAATTTATGAACGGTTTCATTACTCAATGATTTGTTCAATAAATTCAAGCCTGAAAAGTTTTTAAGGAATATATTTTTTTAATATTTATCCAATATTAAATTTAATAATATTTCTTACTGCGAGTGGCTATAGATGTGGCAAAGGCTTTTAATTCCAAAATAATAATATCCTGACTTGAATTATTTTTCATATATACTTGAAACCATAAAAACGATCGATGAATATCCCCGAATTCAAAATTATGATGAGCCAATGCCAAACAGTCCCTTATTGAAAGTTTATAGCTAATTTTAAAAAATCAAAGTATAAATATCAATAGTTTCCTTAAATAAAAAATATTGTTTTGGGCCTACTTGTATTGTTTGTTGTGGAGAAGTCCTTTTGCCATATCTTTCGGTTGGAGACCATAAGTCGTCTCTATGCGGTGCATTGACTTTAGAGATTCGTTCATGTCGAAGGGTTCAGGAGCCTTAGTCAGGATATTCTGCATCGCATCAAGTTCTACAAGACCAACTGGTTTCTGTGTATAGTTTTGCAATTTGGGCCAATCTTGGTTTAGTCTTCTGATCAGTCCAAAAGCATTTAACGGATCGGAAACAAATTTCTCTCTCTCGTTGTGAGTCCTATGACTGGGGCGCTTCAAGGCATCTAAGTAACTGAAATATTTTGTGGGATATAAGATTTGGTTTTGATGAAAGTACTACTCACATGTTTAGGCTGTCAACTTTCTCCTGCAAGACATTGGTATAGATCGTAAAGTTCTCCATAAATTCTTGCTCCAATTGCAAGAGCTTAACTAGTTCCACTACTGAGGAGCTGTAATAATCCTTATCATATAACAGTCTTAATTCATCCTTATCTTTATTTGTATCTAAAGACAAATTGTAGTGGACTAGGATAAGCACAAAAATGAGTCTAGAAACATTCAGCATTGCTTAAAAGGTGCGAAAAGATTGAAATAAGAAATAGCGTGTGATAAGCGGAAGCTATTAAAAAGATTTATTTAACGCTTAGAATTTCATGCTTTACGTAATGGCACTTATATGTTAAACTTTTTTAGTTCTTTTTTGCATGGCGTTGAAAACATATGAGGCCTTTCGTGTAGCCATTTGACAAGGGCTGAAAATATTAAAATTATTAAATTATATATTTAAATGGATTGTAACTTACTCCATTTAGAGCCCACTACAACCGGACATGACAAGTGCCAGAGATCTTCGTTAGGCTGCATCTCATTGTTCAGGTTTTTCCAAACTACTGCGCTGCCCTTTTGAGGCCTAATTGTAAGATTCAAATTATTGAAAACGATGGCTCCACCTAGAGCTACATCACTTATCTAAAATTTTTGGACAAAGATGCAAAAACTCATACATTATTAAAAATGATATAGTTTTCTTATACTTACAAAAAACGTTATGCTTGTAAGGCGATCGCCGAGTTCTGCCTGAAAGATTATACAAATTTGATTACTAATTCCTTTGCTTAGCCTTCCAACTTACTGTTTGATCTGGAAAATTTATGTTGTCGGTATGATAGTCTCTGAATCCACAAATTCCATAACTGTTTACCAGAAAATCAGTATCTTCTTTCACATCCTCTCCAGTCATGTCCATAATCCGTCGATTTAGTGGACTTTGGTAGTCCTCATGAAAGTTAGCCAACTTTATGTTATAGTCATCGCGATTAATGTATCGTGGAGTGGCCTTCAGAGAAGGAAGGGAAATATTCTTGATCCTCGAGATCTCTCCGTCGTAGATTACATCATGATAGATAACAATTTCGGGTTCCACACTCAGGACCTCGACTTTGAGGGGAGCAATTCTTAGGAAATCTGATGTTCCTCTTTCATAGTGACAGCTAAAATATTTTCTGATCGCCCATTGTGCTTGGCAGCCACTACGGTCGACCCATGAGCCTATGTACTAACTTGGGATGCATGAGATTAGATTTAAGTAAATTTACAACCCTTACCTTGCGATTTTCATCACCTAGTTTACTCATTTCATAGACTTTTCTCTGAAGTATCCACAGCTTAGGATCTAAATCAGACACGTTTCGAAGAATTTTTAGTGCCTCTTTGTAGGAACCTTTTCGAAGGTAAGTATAATAAATGAATCTTAAAGGCAACTAACTAAACCTACCTTTGAGTACCAAAGCTGAAGTGTAATTTTCGTATAAATCCGAAAGCTTAAAGTCAAACACTTCCCTGTAGACTTGTCCATCTCGATCTTCGTCGTAGGTAGCTATGGCAGTTTGATGCCAATTTAGAGCAACCCTTTCGATATTAAAATTCATAAACGCATTGGCCAAGACCAGGCAATTCAGTGGAGTCAAAGTGGTACTAGGAAGTTAAATTCGTCATTAGTATAAGAAGTAGTATGAATAGATGTACCCACTTGTATTTGTGGCCCATGAATAATCCTTTGGCTATGTCAACTGGCTGTATATTATAGAAGCGTTCTAGTAAGAGCATTCCACCGATGGCATCGTTAAGATCCTTATCAGTTGGCTTTCCTTCTTCTAAACCTTTTTGAATAGCCTGAATGTGGTCCAGACCAACACGTTCTGACATCGAAAACTCCATTTGAGTCCAATCTTCATGGAGTCGTCGAATAAGGGAAAATCCGTTGAGTGGGTGGGCAACGAACTCTTCTGGATTTTTCCGAGAAATTTCACGCTTTGATTGTACATCTTGTAGGAAGCTATGAGGATAAATGAGTAAAAGAAAATATGTGTTCTCACTGCCCGCACCTCTCTATTTTAAGAATTTTGCTTTTTAGGGCTTTTGCAAAGTTTGTTAGCTCGCCGATGAGAAAGCCTTCCATATCCACCAGCCCCTTCATTCCAGTTATAGACATGGCGGGGTCAGTCGTTTGTCCATAAAAACCCATTGGAAGACTTAGTAAAGTTAAGCTGAGTGAGAAAATTAAAAACATGTTTCTTTCTATTGGCAGCAAACCAAATAACTATCGAAGTATTATATTTACATATGAAAGTAACTCTTAAATTGTGCATCAGGGCGTATATAATGCATTTGTCAGGGAAACTGTATTTCCAATTGGGCTCAAAACACCCTAACATTTTGAATTTGTTTAGTGAAATATTTAAGTTCTACAATCCTATTTAGAACCAGGACAAGATGCTATGTTATTTATAACTAAATGGCAAAAATAAATTCGACTATTTTAATATAAATAATTTTTAAAAAAGATGAGTTATACGTCTTTGTGGTGCAGATATTTTAAATATAGAGATTGAAGACATCTCTTGATAGACTAATTCATCTTCCTTGCAGAAAATGTTAAAAGTATTTATGTTAACACGATTAATAAGTAATTTATAAGTGGGGATACATCTTGGGTGGTTATAGGACCACCCTAATTTCTCATATGCAGCATCAGCCTTTAGGGGATGGGTTCCTGGTTTCTGGTTTCCATTGGTTCCCGGTATGGCGTGGGACTACAACGGAAGAACAATTAAAATTCTCTTGGGACAGTAAATATAACTTTTTTTAAGACTACATTTATCCTAATGAAAAATTATAAGATTGCATCTAGTCTTTTCTAAAAGGTTTAATAAATAATTTCATTTGAGATACTCATTTAGCAGATCTACCGGTTGTACACCGTTACAAATCTAGAATTTTTTCTTAAGAAAAGTTTAATTTTACATTAATTTATTTAAATAATAATACCGTAGAGCATAACTAATGCCTTTAGACAACGTTTCTATTGGTTTTTATTTCCTTGGATTTAGTTTAAAATTTGTACCGTCATGTCCCAGACTTGCGTTTATATATTTTTATTAGCTTTAATTGGTTTAAGCACTGAGGAACCATCAGAATCATCAGTAAAATCACATGGATATGCAATAGCGCAGGCTCACATGTTGCCGTTGCTGATACTGAAAGAAAAAGCTGCAATAAACCTGAGGAACTATGCTTTGGTATTAACTAGGCGATTGTCAAAACTCAACTTGTAAGAAATATCTAGCTTTTTATAAGATTTATATAAATATAAATACAATAATATTAAAGGTTTATTAATCAACTGGAGGATCATCTCGAGTACAAAACAGAGTGGAGTCCTTTGGCCCCTTTTAAGCAAACTCGTCTTTTGTATTTCGACTGGAAAAAGGTGTTAATTTTTCTGAAGGATACACATGGTTTCGAGGAAATGGCCAATTTACAAAGTTTGCGTCATAGGATGCCTACGAAAACCGATTACAATGAAGCTCTATATGGGATGTATCGCCTGCAGACAACCTACAGATTAGATCCGGTTGAAATGTCAGATGGTTTTTTGAGAGGGAGACAATACAGGTGGGTGTGATCAGTTTATAAGTATTATAACTATTGAAATAATTATTTATTCCTTTTATAGATGCAAGAAACTTAATGCTTTAGATTGCCTTATGATAGGTTCTATTCATTACCTGGATGAAAACTTCCAGGGAGCCGAACGTTGGTTCCAGTTGGCTCTTAAAAAGTACTATACTGATTCAAATTCGAAGCAGTTTGATATCTTTGGATACTCAAAAGATTTTATTTTGAAACTGCTAATGAAGGCGGCTAAAAGTTCTGGTCGATACAAAACTGCTTTGGAATATGCCGAGAAGGGCCTGCATGTTAGCCCAAGCACCATTTTTTGGAACGAACAGATTTCCAGGCTCAAAAACTTGAGTTTGTTACCCGAGGTACTCAGACCGGAAAAACCTAATAAATATTTATTTAAGCCAGCCTGCCGGATGGAATATCCCCCAAAGAAATACCTGCGATGTCATCTTTTACTCTCCTCGTCTTTTCTTCAGTTGGCACCTATAAAAAGTGAAGAGTTAAACCTGGATCCACCTATAAATATGTATCACAACCTAATCCATGATGAGGAGATCGAAATGCTTAAGACTTTATCTAATCCACACTTGAAGCGCAGCCAGTTTTACACATCTTCAGATGAGGTAATTGAAGACTTCTCCAATCTTCGTACGTGCAAAACCGTGCGATTAAAGGATGATGTGCATTATGGCTTATTGAAGAATTTGAACCAACGTGTAACTGATGCCACGGGCTTAAGTGTAAAAGAGTCTGAGGATCTGCAGATTAGTAACTATGGCATTGGTGGGCATTTATATGAGCATGAGGACTCTTCGCAATCAACTGAGGCGGATTTTTGGACCTCCGGCAACCGCATTATTACGGCCTTGTACTATGTAAGAGCTGCTGAAAAATGCGTTATTATGTTTTAACTATTTCTTTTTCAGTTAAGTGAAGTGGAGCAGGGCGGCGAAACTGTTTTTCCATTTCTAGATCTACGTGTTCGCACACAAAAGGGATCCTTGTTGGTATGGTACAATTTGCTATCAAATGGAACCAGCGATTGGCGAGTGACACATGTATCTTGCCCAATTATCAAGGGCGATAAGTGGAGTAAGGTCTTAGGACTATCAAAAAGTATATTTCATCTGAATGTTTTTCAGTTGCCACCAAATGGCTCAGGGGAAATCCGCAAATGTTTATTCGACCTTGCCCCGTGAAGATGAAACTACAGCCCGAATATTGCGATAAGACTTATATGAGAAAGTTTTTTAAGGAAACTGAAGAACATTATCAATAAAGCTTTAAAGACAAGAATAAACGCTCTAGTCGAGTGCCGCGACTATAAGATACCCGTTACGGTCTTATCAAATTTTAAAATAATCACGTTGATAAAAGAAAACTTTACAAGCGCCACCTTTTTTCAGAAAAAGACATGCTTAATATCTGATAATGACGTCACGTAATTACGTAATGTTACGATTTTTTTGGTTATTCGATAGATATTGACAAAAAAATGTATAGAAGGTAAAACGAAAACAGAAATGGTAATATTTTTCCGCGGGCGTAGCTCCGCTTTATCCTAACTTTATAGTTTCAGAGAACTAAAATAAATAAGTAATTGGACCTTCTCACAAATATTCTTAATCCATCATTTGGCTACCAGAAAAACTTATTAGCCACGTGAGAGTATTCTTTCAGGGAAATAAGGCTTCAGACTATTCGATAGTCTAAAATAATCGATGGTGCTGACCGGGGCTCTTCTCTGCAACAAACTGATAGCACCATCGCTAACTTTCAGTTCCAAAGCAATCTGTCGAAGCTAAGGAATTAGGGTCCCACGTAGGCAGGATCAGTGTCCAGATGTCAGGCCTTCTTCATAACCTTTTTTGAGCCTTCAAGAGGCCAAGAAGGTGGTCAAACAATGAGAAGTGGAACAGGGCCCCAGAGATAAGCTCATGACTTGGTCCTCAAGCTTTTCCATCATTATCTTCTAGATCAAAGTGATTACATTTTATGGCTGTGGGGCCACGCGCCTAGGTCCTGCTTGGTTATATGCATCTTTACCCATGGGCCCAAGCCTGGTAATGGAACTCATGGCTGACATGAAAATCCGCGAGACATTGGACCTTATACTTTAAACGCAGATCATATCAAGCGCCTTGGCTGTATTACGTACAGAGGTTGATAGGCCTGTCATGTGCCCTAAACAATGCCTAGGAATTTAATGGAGTTCTAAGATTAGTATCTAAAACCGGATGAAGACTGGCCTCACAAGACGACCACATGTTCGAATGGATTGGTCAGGAACAGGACTTCGAATTCCATATCGAAATCGAATAGCGATGTGCTAAGAACTATTGCACGCCTTCACAAATTGTTTCAAAACATACCATGAAGCATTGCGAATGAAGCTTTTTTTTAGTAAATTGAAAGGGTTTTATTTTTTTGAAATTATTACTACAGTTCAAACCAGTTACTGCCATGGCTAGAACGCTGTTTTTTTTCATAGTTTTAACTGTTGGTGTTGGTATGCAAGTAAAAGGCCAAGATGTATCTACACCCAAGTCTTATGACTTTGCAATATCCTCAGAATCCCAATTGTCATTGCTGAAGTTGAAAGAAACACATGTCTACAATCTTCATAGCTATAACAAAATATTAAAGATGCATTTGAAAAAAATTAAGCTGTAAGTATAATACAGAAATTAAGTTTAAAAATCTATTTCCTTTTTAAATTATAGAGCCATTAGGTATTCAGAAAATCTGTTAAAATCCTCGACGCTGTTTCAGTATAATTTGTTCTTTGGATTTAAAGTTTTGAGACACATTTATAAGGCTTGGCCCTTGTACTTAACATTATTAACTAAAGAACTGGGCACCAAAGAGACTTCGGCTTTTCAGGACTTGTTAGAACAGCAACCAACGTCTGTTGATTTTGAGGAATCATTGGGTGCTATTCATAGGCTACAGACCGTATATGATCTAGACTCATATGCCATGGCAGAAGGCATTTTGGCTGGCAAAAATTACAAGTAAGAGATAAATCGAACATGTATTTATAAATTCATTATTGAAATTACATTTAGTATCAAGAATTGGGGTGTTGATGAGTGTTTAATACTCGGTCTAATGTATCAATACATAAAAAACTACAACCAATCGGAGAACTGGTTTCAGTTGGCTCTCTACTATTACGAGGATCATCCCAATCCAGAGGAGCTCGAAATCAAGATTTGGAAGTACACAAACTTGTTGGAACTTCTGGTGGAGGCCAACAAGGGACTTGGTGAGCGTTGTTAATATAGTGTTTATGAAAGAAAATTTATGTTTTTAATCATAGGCCGCTATTTGGAAGCTAAAAAATATGCAAATGAGTTACTTACGCTTTTTCCCAATCAGACTTATATGTTAAAGCAACTTCCAAAGCTGAAATATCTGCATGAGAATCCGATCAAACTCAAAAAACCAAAAAAAGAGTATAAGCTCCAAAAAGCTATATGCTCCAAGCGTTACCGGAGAAAATCTGGAAATCTATTATGTCGTTATGTAAATTGGACGCCATTCCTGCAATTGGCACCCCTGAAAATGGAGGAGCTATCAATAGAAACCCATATAAGCATCGTTCATGACTTTATTGGCCAAAAGGATATAGAAATATTAAAGAACGTGTCGAGACCAAAACTTCAACGACACGAAAACTTATCTTGGAATTGCAGTTGTAAAATTGGAAATCTATCTAGCTCTTCACATGATATTGTTGCTAAAATTAATAGACTGATCTTAGATGTCACAGGATTTCCAATGAAAGGCAATGAAAAGCTAGAAGTCATAAATTATGGATTGGCTGGAAACTACAATCTCGATGACACTGCCAAATCCAAGCACCAGAACCATGCTAATGCTTTGATATTTGTAAGTATATCTTTTGTTTATTTAAACATTTAATTTAATGATTCCCCTAAAATATTCCAGCTGAGCAATGTTGAGAGGGGCGGAGAAATAGTCTTTCCCTCTCGCCATTTAAAAGTGAGAGCTCGAAAAGGATCTATGCTCGTTTGGGAAAATGTCAAAGGAAGAGTTATCTATCATCAGTGCCCTATCTTAAAGGGAAACATGTGGGGTAAGTTCTTGCGACTTATTTAGTATGTCATAAATACATTTTTATCTTTTTTTAGTGGCTAACAAAGTGCTCAACTGAACATTTTATATTCTAATTTATGTACCTTTGTAGTACCCGTTTATTTAAATTTCAATAATTGTACTTTTTTCGATTTATTGCAACAAAAAGTAAACTTCTTCAGACGAATAAATATTCTTACGTGTTTGTGCCTAGAAGGTGTTTGATGTTATTGATTTAACAACATAATGAACATCATTTTGTACCCTGTATTTGTCTCATTTTCATATACTTTTTTAAGCATTATCAAGCTCTTTATTTGTTTTTTATGTGATTTTATCTTGATTGCCTTTCGGGTGATATATTTCTAGAGCAAACATGTGCCGCTGCCCTTCTTGTAAAAAACTTTTAATGTGTCTGCCATAAACAATTCGAATGGCTCGAGTGCCATACATGTTCGACTGAATTATAATGACTTGACACTTAAACCATAAAAATGGCAAATTTACACTTGTGTGTTGTTGTGCGGGTCGGGAGTGTGTGTGTCCAATGGATATATGGGATTTATACAACCTCGGTGTCTGTCTGAGTTTTTGGAACTGACTCTGATTTGGAATCGGTGTCGGATTCTTGGGCCACAGATGGCTGGGTTTGTCTTTGTCTTTGTCTGCCTCGGTTTTCGTTGCAATCAATTCCTCTTGAATAAACAAATCACTTAGGAGTCCTGTCTGAGCCGTGATGAGCTGAAGTATGACTGCCAGACCATGAGAAATGAAATGTACAAGCATGTGATAATCGTATGCGGATTAAAATGATTTTGGCAAACAATCTTTGGCATTATAAAGCAATTTATGCTAATAACAATCATTTGTGAAGTCGTCAATTTGGCATTGGGGTGATGCTTTGTTTTTCGCGATATGTACGAGCTTATATCCCTCCTCCCAGACGTTTCCTTTATATACGCTGTAATGCCAGACTTAATCATAGCTAAGGCCTGGCAAAAATTAATTTTCATCTCTGGCTTTTGATTGCCACGAATGTTTTTTGCTCTGCAGCCTTTGGATTTTAGTTTTGAAATGTTCATTCATGGGGGTATTAAAATGTGCCCACTCGTATGAATGCCATACTATATTCCATTCATCGATTTGCATCACTGCTCGCAATCTGAATTCATGAAAATGGAGCTGAAGGAATCCGATGGTTGGATGGACTTATTGTCCATTTGGCTTTTGTGAAAACCGAGAAATCCTCTGGTTTTTTAGCCACGAACTGGTGTACTAAAATTGACAAGAAAGGTTGTTAATATTTGGAATGTGTAAAATGTGTATAAATCTTTAAGTAAGATTGCTGAAAAATTGGATTAAGTGAAAAAACAGGAAAATAAGCTTATTAAATCGCTTACTTTGAATCAATGAAATCGAAATCAATAAGCTCAGAGCTTGTTCATTGAGAAAGCACTGATTGAGACACAGAACCGTGCACAATTGTCATGACATCTCGTATACCCCCTGGCAATCCAGACATAATAACCATTTTGAAGTCGAACATTTCAAGGTTAGGCACTGCCAAGTCGCGATTGGTGCCAAACCTTATCTAGACAACTTGTCAGTCGGTGATTCTATTCGCATTCGATTCACTCTACCAGCCGTCCATTGTTCTACTGCTGTCAGGCAGAAGGTCCTGAAAGATTGGGTCCTGGCATCTTGCTTAAGTGATAATTCTTATACTAAAGCAGCAGCTCCCTTTGCTCGGTGAGAGATTTCTTGTATCAACACTGAGGTATACGATACAGTAACAGATTTTTTCTTTGAATCAAATCCAGGTTTAGTGTTTGGTATATAATATATGCAATAGACAAACATGATTTTTTAGAAGAAATGTATAGAATTTTTCTTATACGTCACGAAGTTAATGTTTTTTCTTAAAAATTTCCCAACTAAGAAACATTTTCCAAGTGTACATCGCCTTAAATATCCCAATGCGTGCGGTAAGCATTTATTGTGAAGGAAAACTGTTTTCATTGTATGTAACAATTGATTTCGATTTCGACTGGCTCTGCCTTCGTTCTTTGAATGGCAACTGAGTTACGGGAATGTGCAAATGGAAATAGAATGGAAACACTCGTCACATCGTCTGGGAGTTGCCTCTACTCCTCTTGCCACATCCGAAGTCTGCATTTTGTGAGGCGCTTCATTTACTTTATGTCTTTTGTCTGCTCTTTATGTGTACATGGCTACAATTTGAATGAGCTGGAGCTGCTTTGCTGTTTTTTTTTGGGTGAGCTGCATTTTTATGGTTCTCCATCAAATGTTTCTGACTGTTCTATTATTTATTGTATGGCTACTTGATGAACATTTTGCCGAAAACGTTTTATGGGCTCATGTCTTCCGAGTTAGGCCTCCTTTCGCCTTCCTCCAACCAACAACTTCTAACTTGACTATCAATCATTCTTTCCTGCACTTCGAATAATAACTGGATTAAAAGCTAAGAAATTACTTGGAATTACTCTTATTTAAGTACTTAACAATGAATATATCCCACTTAACTTAACATCTTAAGATGTATGTATTTTTTAAATAAATAAGTTTTAAAAGAAACGAAAATCATAAAACCATTTCAAGCTTTCACTTCTCTGGAGGGAGTATTTTATTTCCCAGTGCCACAATGGGAAATACCCATTTAATAACTTTCGCCGACATTTATAGAGTGTCTACAATTTTGTAAATGGCCCCCAGACCCGAAACAAATCCACTTGTCACAACCTGTTGGTTCATCGTTTATTGTACACTGGCTGCTCAAAATGGCGGAACTAATGTGCCGCCGCATTTGAATTATTATTACAACGCTTCGGGATTAGGGCGTGACGGCTATAATGAGTTCCACACACAAAAAATGGCCAGTCGTAAATTGCACACGATTTATAAAGCGTCGGCGATTTTGACGAGGGACGACATGTCATTTCGCTGTGTAATTTATAACCGAAACATAACCGAGAAAAGGAAAAATCGATTTGCGATATGCGATTTGACAGTCTCGACACTTTGAGAAATGGCTTTAAACTTAAAGCTTCCAAGGTCCTGGATGGCCGCTCATTTTCTGCACTTGCTGTCCTTGCGATTGCCGTCTGGACAATCAAAACAATGTCCAATGTCTAGCCGTAACTCGGATTGGGTGGTTTTTATGAGTTGAATATGCCTCTGAAAGTTCACAAGTTGGGGCATAAGGTTTTCTACGGCTCTGATACAAATTATAAGCAATATTACTTCCTTTTATAAGGTTTAAAATCGATTTGGTATTGATGTCATTTTAAGGTTTTTAATAATGGGCTGAGAAAAACACTAATAAAAGCCAAATAAATATTTTAAGGTTTAAAGGTCGGAAATAAACAAAAATTCAATCAAAATGGTATAAATAACAACAACTTCGACCCAAAAAATGGATATAGGATTAAAAAAGGTAGTATAAAGTTCCATGATTGGCAATCATTTTTACATTGATCTGAATTTCTAGCAACAAAATAATTTAAATAACACACTTTCCTGGCCGTTTGGGAAAGAAAATTGAGAAAATGTTAGTATAATTTTTCATAATATGAAGAGTCAAAGAGTAAAAACACCTTTAAAATTTGTTAGCATTTATCGAATTTCCTTAAAAAAAAAGGCGTTATTCGGCTTTTAATACAACTAATTTTATAGTACGAGTATAAATAAATCTTAGATATTACAAATGGTTATATGCCAAGTCTTAACTTCTGTGGGTGAAGGATTTAAAAACTTTTAAATAAACTTCACCTTCTCAATATCTATGTCAATATATTGTGCAAATTTATGTTTTTTCAAAGACAATTTAATTGTTAAGCTTTGGCACCTCCTCACTAAATTATGGATTACTCTTAAAGCGCATTCCTTGACTTCTTCTTCTTCTTGTTGGTCCTCTGGATCCCTGTTGAATTTTTAATGGGCTGGCATTCCTAGGATGCTTGTTTTGTGCCTCGTTGGTTACCCAATCGACATTGGTCGTCGTCCTGGTGTACTTCCAGTCCAATTTGCCGGCTCCCTCGTCTGCCATTGTGCCATGTGTACACACGCGCCGCTCTAATAATCCAATTTCCACGTGTTGACTTACGTGTTGTGACACTTGAGTTTGTCCCCAAGAGAAGTGCGTTCTGATGCTGCCCTGACTATTAAATAATTTTTGCCTCACTCTTTATTCTTTTCCATTTCATTCATGATCGCCCTTATATAAATTTTAAAGTTTTTATTTTTTTTATTTCGGATTTACTGCTTTAGAACTTATCAGGAATTTCATTAAAAGTTTATATTCGAGGTAATTGGTCTTTATTAATTACATCATACCTTTTATGACCCTTTAAGTCAGTATAAAGCAATCGTAGTATACAATGCCATACAAATGTAATTGATAAAGTAAAGTTATATTGTGAAATTGTGTTTAAAAGTGCAACAATATGTAAAGATTATTTCAGAACCGCAGACTCCAGAGGAGAAATATTGCTCTTTTTTTTACATTTCCATCTAAGTTTCTCATTTTTTCTTTTCTTTATTTGGCTTTTTTCCACGCGAATAAAACCGAAATAATTGGCTTGCGGTGAGTCGTGTGGGAACTTAATGGATAGCGTTTTTTCTCCACTTTGCTTTCTTATGCATTCTGCATTTCTGTGGAAACATTGAAAAATTGGTCACACACTATTGTTAATACCTCTTCGCCACTAAAGCTGTTAGAAATACTGTAAATTTTATAATTTATTCGGAATTTGTTTTGAGTATATTTCCTTAATTCCTTCTGTTTAATAACCAAACTATCTCATACGACAAGCATTTCAGTTTATAGCAACTCATTGCCTAGAAAATAAGGATTGAGCGAAAGTCCCGCATTCTCCTTAGCTTATTTAATTTTATGATTACGCAGGTGTTGCTGGTCCGGTTATTTAGCACACCTTAAGATTCCCAAAATAGATCATGGATTAGGTAAAAGGGATTACCATATGCAGATGTTATCCCACATAAATAAATACCTGCAACAGGTAAGGGCATCGACTACCTGTTACCCTCTACACTCCGGTTGTATATAAGGCAGACTGGTCAAGAGGATAGTAACAATCAGCAATTGAATCTTGTCCTAGACACATCTCAGTATTTCTGAAACAACTGTCGAGAACCAGCACTTTCGTACTACAATCATGTTCGACGAGCCAATCTCAAGCTTTGTGTTCACCAACGAGGAGACGACCCAGACCTTCCACCACCAGTGGTTTGCCCAGGGCCAGTTGCACGAGTGTGCCACCTGCTACAGTTCAATCGACGCAGATGAGCCGCCTTCCCAGCATTGGCTGCGTGGGGGAGAAGCTTCCCAGGGACTGCAGCTCACCAAGCAGCAACAAGCTGTCCTGGACATCATCGAAGCTCGCCAGATTGAAACCTTCTTCTTCTGCGACGAGAGCTCCAAAGACAAGGTCGACCACTTTATGGGTGAGACCTGTGCTAGGGGTATCCCTGAATTGCTCCGCTGGATGTTCCAGAACAACACCGTGGCCGTGGAGTTTAATCTGGCCTGTTACGTGAATGCGATGGACCAGGTGTTGATCTTCCAGAGTGGTTCACTGAAGGTGGATCACCACTACGACGTTGACGAGTCTGTGGGCGTGGTATATGAGATGCTGATGCAGAGAATCGAGAACTACTTGAACTGCAGCAGTGAGTATGGGATGGCCGAGTGCAGCATAACCAGGGTGAAGGTCCAGATCAAGAGGATTCGGGTGGACGCTGAGAGTCAGCCTGCGGAATCAGCTTTCTTCGCCCTGCCCCTACAGCTGAAACAGGAGGAGGGTCTAGCCACCACAACCAGTCCTTCAACCAGCGAATCTGAGTTGGCCAGCCTGCGCTCCGCCTACCTGAAGCACTTCCGCGAATGCAATGGATACTTCCCGCCCAACATGAGGGTCAATCTCTACGGACTGCAACAGTGCAAAACCACCAAGGAGCTGTATGTGGTGCCCTACCACATCAGCGAAACCCTCCAGCAGCTGCCCAACAAGAACTTCCTCATCCTGAACAACATCATGGGACAGTTCCAGCGTCTCCACGAGCTCTCCACGCCCGTCAAGTCCATCGAGAGGGACCACACCAGCTCACCCCTGAAGGACCTTCACTGCCGGAGGTGCCGCACCCAGTTTTCGAGGAGCAGCAAGCTGCACATCCACCAGAAGTTGCGCTGCGGCCAGGACTTCTCAGTGGACAGCATGCACGCGGACATAGTCGAGATCTATGAACAGTGCCTGCCCATATCAAGGAACGTCTTTCAGCACGCTTGCTACGGTATCACCAAGCCCAAGACCGTGATGCGGAAGGGTCAGTTTGTGCCCATCGAGTGCGACTGGCGCAGCGAGAGCTCCGTGAAGGTGCAACACGGCCCCTGTGTGGTCATTAGCAACGCCCAACACAGTAGTCCCTGTAAATTTTATTAAATAAAAAATAATTATTAAGCACCAAGTCAATTCTTTTTTTAACTGTGGTGGAAAAGCTTTTCAAAATGAATTACAGCTACTTTATGTACTAAAATCAATTTTATAAATATACCCCTTGTTGCAAAGATAGTGGTCACCCAAATTTATGTAAACTGTACTACTCACATCCGTTTCTCTCAGTATAACCGCAATAAAGTGTACTCGATAAGAATTAAAACGTTCTAGACTATTCTAGTGTAATGATAGGGGCTCACCAAAGTTTTATGGGCTTCTTGGGAGCTAGCGAATACAATCAGAATCAGTTCTTGGGAAACTTCAGTCCGCAGTTGTGCTACGATTTTAAAATGTTTAAGTTTGGATTTTATTTCTTGATTGCTATTGTCATATTCAATCTACACGGAAATGCAAAATCACAGATTAATACACCTTCACCGTGTAAACTGATGGATGCCCCAAATCAGTGCGGTGCATTCTGCCTTGCTGCTCTCCGTCCACTCTTCTGATTTCCATACAGGAATCACTCTCGAATCTTCCAAAAGTCCCACCAAATTTCAAGCGGATCGGCTCGGGGATTTCCATACAGGAATCACTCTCGAGTCTTCCAAAAGTCCCACCAAAGTTCGAGCGGATCGGCTCGGGGCTCTTTCTTATCGAACATAATAAAAAGGAAAATTGGAGTACTGCTCAAAATGTATGTCGAGAGTTTGGAGGACTTTTAGCGAACATTCAACGAGAGGTGGACTTTGATGCCATAGCTTTCGAACTCAAGGAAGGGTTTGAATACTGGCTGGGTATCAAATATGTCCCAGAGAAGAAACTTTACTTCTCTTTCCCGTCAAGAGTTCAAGTTTCACTACTCAGACCAGGACTTCCCAGCATCTTGTCAGAAACTCAAAACTGTGTAGCCATTTTAAATGGCTTTATGATAAGCAAGGAGTGCGATAGTAAATACCATTTCATTTGCCGAAAAGAAATTGATTAATGATTGAGAAGATAAACTTTTTGTTTTTTATTTATTACTTTTGTAATTCAACGGGCAAATGCCATAAATGAAATAAATAAATAAATAAATGAAGAATGCCTATAGTTTTGATCATCAGATAGATACTATTAATTCTTCTGAGGGATATTTAAACTAATAAACTGCATATGACTAGATGTATTTATACCCGTTACTCGTAGAGTAAAAGGGTATACTAGATTCGTTGAAAAGTATGTAACAGATAGAAGGAAGCTTTTGCGACCCTATAAAGTATATATATTCTTGATCAGGATCAATAGCGAAGTCGATTGAGCCATGTCCGTCTGTCCGTCCGTCCGTCCGTATGAACGCTGAGATCTCAGGAACTATAGCAGATACAAAGTTGAGATTAAGCATGAAGATTCTTGAGGTCCCGGGACAGCGCAAGTTTATTACAGCATCCTGACACGCCCACTCTAACGCCCACAAATCGCAAAAAACTAAAATTGCTGAAATCTCAGGAACTATTGCAGTTAGAAAGTTGAAATTCAAAAATTATAATCTTTAATTGGCAGCGCATCTTATAGTGGTACTACTATCCGGCCACACCCACCCATACGCCCACAAGGCTCAAAAGACGGTTTTCGGATTTTCTAGAAAAGCTGATATCTCGGTAACTATAAAAGATAGAAAGTTCGGATTCATCATGTGGGTTTTTATTATGCTCCCAATGCGAATTGTTTTTTTTCGATCAAGCCACGCCCACTCTAACGCCCACAAAACCTGAACAACCAAAAATGCAAAAATCTCAAAAACTATAAGAGCTACATAATTTTGTTTAAGATCACGTATTTAGGATATGCCTTTGCAACTTTCCACGAAGTTGCATCCGGCCACGCCTACTCTGACGCCCACAAACCGCGGAAAACTGTGGCGTCTATAATATTATTATGAATGCCTTCGTTTGACCTTGTATAACTTATTTTTGTTAATATCTATCGATTTACCAAAGATTTTTCAAATCGGAACATTATTTCGCTATTTATGAAGAAATTAAGGTTATAAGGCCTCACATGGGCAGTGACGTCACTATAAGCATACTCAACATACTTCCTCTGAAAATAGTTGGCGCCTTGTGAATTTCCACTAGCAAAATAATATTTTAAAATTTTGTAAAACAGTAACGGGTATCTTATGGTCGCGGCACTCGACTATAGCGTTTCCTCTTGTTTTTTAATGGATACGACTGCATATCTCTCCGATTTTATATCGTTTTTGTTTTATTAATTTTGTACGCCTACTGTTGATATTCTCGCTAACTATAAGCGTAAAAGCTTAAAATTTGCAAAGATTACGGTGCCAGTGCACAAGTGCGTAAGCTAAAAATATAGGTGTGATTAAAAAAAATGTTAATTAATATACTGGAGGCAAAAATGGCCCTTTCTCAGTCGAAAAAGAAGAAGTTCTTTTGCGATTGCTTTGAAAGGGACCAACTTTTTGATCAACTTCATTTTTTCTATGCACATAGTAAATTTAAAGAAGAATAAAGAACAACGAATTTGCTACCCTTAAGGCCTAAGCTTTTCGTTCGCTTTGCTTACAAAGATAATGGAATATAAGAGATAGGCGAGCGAGAGCGGATCGAAAGCTTGGGTAGATCAAAGCTTTAAACTCATCTTTTTCGTTATTAGTTGTTTACAAATGTATATCAAAATAAAAGGTTTTGCCAACACAATTAGGAGTCAATAATTCTGATATTTCCATATATGTAACCTTTTTTATGTAATCTGTATTGGTTTATTTACTTTTTTCATTTTTGTACAATGTGATGTAAAGGTATTTATACCCGTTACTCGTTTTCGACTCTGTAAAATATATATATTCTTGACCAGGATCAATAGCGAAGTCGATTGAGCCATGTCCGTCTGTCCGTCCGTCCGTCCATCCGTCCGTATGAACGCTGAGATCTCAGGAACTACAGCAGATACAAAGTTGAGATTAAGCATGAAGATTCGTGAGGTCTCCGGACAGCGCAAGTTTATTTCAGCTTCCTGCCACGCCCACAAATCGCGAAAAACTAAAATCGCTGAAATCTCGGGAACTATTAGAGTTAGAAAGTTGAAATTCAGTATGTATAAACTTTGGATGCCGGCGCATCTTTTAATTGTACTATTATCTGGCCACACCCATCCATACGCCCACCAAGCTCAAAAGACGGTTTTTCGCATTTTCAAGAAAACCTGATATCTCGGTAACTATAAGTGATAGAAAGTTCGGATTAAGCAAGTAGATTTTTATGATGCCCCAAATGCGAATTGTTTCTTTTCCACCTAGCCACGCCTACAAAACCCGAAAAACCAAAAATGCAAAAATCTCAGGAACTAAAAGATCTAGAAAGTTAGGCTTAGGAATATGTATTTTAGAGATGCCACTGCAACTTCCCACGAGTTTTCATCCGACTATGCCCTTTTTAACAGTCACAAACCGCGGAAGACTGTGGCGTCTATAATAATATTATGAATGCCTTCGTTTTACCTTGTATAACTTATTTCTGTTAATATCTATAGATTTACCAATGATTTTTCAAATCGGAACATTATTTCGCTATTTATGAAGAAATTTAGGTTATAAGGCCTCCCATGGGCAGTGACGTCACTATCAGTTACTCAACATGCTTCCTCCGACAATAGGTGGCGCTTGGGGAATTTCCAGTAGCAAAATGAATATTTTAAAATTGTGTAAAACAGTAACGGGAATCTTATAGTCGCGGTACTCGACTATAGCGTTTCCTCTTGTTTTAATGTTTACTGATTCTTCACTTAATAAATGAATATCAAAAAAACTTTAAAAGTTTGTCTCCTTATTTCAAGTACCGTCAGTTCTTCTCGAAATCATAAAATGATTATAAACGTCTATTAACTGAGAGTATATAGTTATGCTGGTGTAGTAGTGCTTTTTTCTTGGGTTTGGTTAGACACGTACCCTACTACAAATTTTTGGGACGTAAGTCGAACATTCAAAAAATAAATAATACTATTATTGTAAATATAATTATTTCCCTGATATGCGATTGAAGAAGTCAAAGATAATTCGTATTGAATTGGAATGGAAACCTAACTCCGAAACATTTGCTAGCCTTGTTTTATTATCAGCTATAAATATTTAAAGATAAATAAAGTTAGCCTCTAAATATGTCTACCGCCACAGTTAAAAAAAGAATTGACTTGGTGCTTAATAATTATTTTTTATTTAATAAAATTTACAGGGACTACTGTGTTGGGCGTTGCTAATGACCACACAGGGGCCGTGTTGCACCTTCACGGAGCTCTCGCTGCGCCAGTCGCACTCGATGGGCACAAACTGACCCTTCCGCATCACGTTCTTGGGCTTGGTGATACCGTAGCAGGCGTGCTGGAAAACGTTCCTTGAGATGGGCAGGCACTGTTCATAGATCTCAACTATATCCGCGTGCATGCTGTCCACTGAGAAGTCCTGGCCGCAGCGCAGCTTCTGGTGGATGTGCAGCTTGCTGCTCCTCGAGAACTGGGTGCGACACCTCCGGCAGTGAAGGTCTTTCAGGGGTGAGCTGGTGTGGTCCCTCTCGATTGACTTAACGGGCGTGGAGAGCTCGTGGAGACGCTGGAACTGTCCCATGATGTTGTTCAGGATGAGGAAGTTCTTGTTGGGCAGCTGCTGGAGGGTTTCGCTGATGTGGTAGGGCACCACATACAGCTCCTTGGTGGTTTTGCACTGTTGCAGTCCGTAGAGATTGACCCTCATGTTGGGCGGGAAGTATCCATTGCATTCGCGGAAGTGCTTCAGGTAGGCGGAGCGCAGGCTGGCCAACTCAGATTCGCTGGTTGAAGGACTGGTTGTGGTGGCTAGACCCTCCTCCTGTTTCAGCTGTAGGGGCAGGGCGAAGAAAGCTGATTCCGCAGGCTGACTTTCAGCGTCCACCCGAATCCTCTTGATCTGGACCTTCACCCTGGTTATGCTGCACTCGGCCATCCCATACTCACTGCTGCAGTTCAAGTAGTTCTCGATTCTCTGCATCAGCATCTCATATACCACGCCCACAGACTCGTCAACGTCGTAGTGGTGATCCACCTTCAGTGAACCACTCTGGAAGATCAACACCTGGTCCATCGCATTCACGTAACAGGCCAGATTAAACTCCACGGCCACGGTGTTGTTCTG